AGAAAAGTAATAATAATTGTAGTAATACATATAGCATAGACAATGATATTGATAGACAAGGATTATTTTTTTCCGAATATTTCCGGCAATTTGGATATTTTTCTTAGCTTTTAGTTTTTCCAGATATCCAAAAAGTTTTCCATACATACAAGTTTAGGTATATATTTTTGTAATATATTTGTTTTTTGAAGCTTTTCCACTCATTACTCATACAAAAATTTAGAAAAGTTTAGGAAAAAAAGTGGAAAAAAACTCAGCTAAAAGAAAAATTAAGAGGAAAATTATCAAAAATATAATCCAGATTTTTTCCATATATTTTACCTAAACAATTTTCCGAAAAATTTTCCACAAGACTGCCACTTGGGTGTATGACCAAGAACAAACAAAATTTAAATAGTTAATGTTAAAATGTATTTATGATAATGGTGTGTATAAATATATAATGTATGTATGCCTATATATATATATATATATATATATATATATATATATATATATATATATATATATATATATATATATATATAGGCATACATACATTATATATTTATGCACACTTATCTATGATCAAAATTTTGAATGTTATTATTCCAGGCTTTTGATTTAGTCAATAACCTTAAATAAATCAACTGTATTGCCTGCATCAAAGCAATACCATTAGTTATGTTTTTGATTTTATCAATTGAATGCTATCATTTTGATTCTATCGATTATATCATCAGTCTGGTTTTGTACATATTGATTCAAAATTAATAAATTATGATAAAAATTGATTTAAAACAAACAAATATTATAGTATATATTTTTTTAGTATTCCAACCATATTCGCGTTTCAACAAAGAAACTTGCCTGTTGTAAAGAAGGGAAAAGTAAACTAAAGCAGAAAGACTTTTTCTTGAAACTCGATATAAATATTTTTTGTGTTTCGTGTTTAAATTTTTTTTTTTAATGTTTTCAGCTTGAGATTGTTAAAATCAATATGAGTATATTTAAAATATTTTTTACTTAAAGATTGAAAGAATGAAAAACATTTTTAATGCATAAAAGATATTTATATTTTCATTTGAATTATATTTTGATCTTTTATTTTGTGTTGATTGATATTTATTTGATGCATAAAATAAATTTACATTTTTTAAATTATACTAATGTTGCTTTTTTTTCTGTTTGTCTCTATTGCATTACGAATATTACACACTTTATATAGCTTTATATCTAAAAATTAAATAATTTATCAAAGTTATGCTTTAAGTTCAAAACTTGTTTGTATTTTTATTTATATATAAATAAATATAAATAAATATATATATATATATATATATATATATATATATATATATATATATATATATATATATATATATATATATACACATCAGAAAGGAGTATCGTAGCAACAGGTTACAAAAAGTTAACGATTAAGATTTTATTTTAACCCTGCAAAAAAAATTGAATCCTCATATAAGCAAAAAATGCAAAAAAGATAAAAAGTTCATCTTGCTGAATAAATAAAAATTTAAAAATTTCTACGCTCAAAATTTTTTTAAAAAAGGCTTAAAGATTATAAACAAAAACAGTAAAAGTAGCTTTAGCTGAAAGTAGATTTTATTCACATTCAGAGGACTTGTATTTTATTTAAAACATTTCTTAGTAAAGCTGCAAGTTATTTTCACAATAATTTTATTTTAAAAATAGTTAAAAGCCTATTAAATTATCTAAAATTAAACAAGTTACTCGTTGTCAATGATAAGTTTTTAAAAACGTTACATCCGTAGCCATTTTTAAAATTCTAAATTATTTTTAACTCTACTGCGCTTGCGTATAATAACTTTCCACTTATTTCTAAAGTCTAAACGACCGTGTGTATTGTTTTGATGGATTATGCTTTACGTAATTTTATTGAGTATTTTAAACTTATTGGAACAGTACTTACACTAACTTCTCAACGAACTTATTGTGTCGAATAACGTTTGTTTATCTAAAATAAAAGTTATGCGACTCACAAGTTATTATCATAAAAAAAATTTAAAACAGGACTGCTGGAATAAGGTTTGTTTGAGGAAGCAGGAAATATACATTAAATGGAAGCTGACAATGCTCTATGCGCCTCGAACCACATTTATATTAACATGTCATGTTAAAATAATTTTTTTTTTTCAACTTGAAATATTGTCTGATTTATGTTGATTAGACTATAAATATTTTCACATTAGTTTAAATGTTTAAATAAGAGGGGGAGGGCGGGGGCCGAGGGCGGAGATCCGTAAGCGAAAAAAATATTAACAAAAATGTCTCTTTTTATGACTGCATAACTGATTAAAGATTCACTAACTCTAGATCAGTTTACATTACTTCTTGGAGCAAGCATATTAATTTTTTTTATTATTGATGCCAAAATGGCAGCTTGGATATCGATACGATGTGTGTCTATAACGTTTATAATTAAATTATTCGAGCTTCATTTTTGAAAAGTTTTGATGTTTTGAAAGTTGTGAAAGAAAGTTTTAAAAAAAAATTCTAAAAACGGGATTTTGATAGTTCGAAAGATTCAAGTTCTACGTCTGTCTAAATATACTTTTTATCAACGTTATTTTTTTTTAATTTTTAAAAAGTGATGACAGTAAAACTATTTAAGTTAAATTCAAGTTAGAAGTATGATAATTAATAATAAGTTTTTCAAAATAATTTCTGTTATTTCAGCAACAAAAAAAAAGTTTAAACTAAATAATAATAACGATCAGAAAAGTCTAGTTTGTCTACTTCATAATTAATCAATCATTTAATATATATTTAATGCAAAAAAGTACTGTTTACAATATAGTACAATTATTATAATACTATTTTTGTGAAGAGACAAATTAAATAGTATAAAACTGATCTTGTAAAAAAAATTAAGATAACAGGCTTCTATATTAACAATCTTCTTTTTCATGATTTTTATTCATTATTTTTCTTTTTTTTCTTTCTGAAAAAGCTGTATGGAATAAAGTATTCTAAAAAGGTAGGCAAATCAATATCTATATTTGCTATAGCATGCTTAAACACACACACAGACACACACCAAAAACACACACATATATATGCATATATTCAAAATAAAATAAAATAATTTATTATGTCATATTTTAGTATTATTAAATTAGTATATAATACTTGTAATTATAATGACAATTATGTAAATAATAATGATAAGTTATTGAAAAATAGTAAATAATGAAAAGTTGTTATTGTTAATAGGAACTTTTCTTGTTATACTATTATCTTACTCAAATCAATATTTTACTCTATTCAATAATACTACTTAATTTGATACTAGTACCAACATTTCTATTACCACTAGTATGGTTGGTACTAATATTGGTATTATTAAGCAAAGAAAAAATTATTTATTTGAGTAAGATAATAAGATATAAGAAAAGTAATAATAATTGTAGTAATACATATAGCATAGACAATGATATTGATAGACAAGGATTATTTTTTTCCGAATATTTCCGGCAATTTGGATATTTTTCTTAGCTTTTAGTTTTTCCAGATATCCAAAAAGTTTTCCATACATACAAGTTTAGGTATATATTTTTGTAATATATTTGTTTTTTGAAGCTTTTCCACTCATTACTCATACAAAAATTTAGAAAAGTTTAGGAAAAAAAGTGGAAAAAAACTCAGCTAAAAGAAAAATTAAGAGGAAAATTATCAAAAATATAATCCAGATTTTTTCCATATATTTTACCTAAACAATTTTCCGAAAAATTTTCCACAAGACTGCCACTTGGGTGTATGACCAAGAACAAACAAAATTTAAATAGTTAATGTTAAAATGTATTTATGATAATGGAAATAAATACATATACCAATCTTTCTATTATTATTAACAATTTTAACCTTTATTATTTACTATTTTATTATTGTTATTTTTAAATAACAATAATTATTAGTATTATATTATATATTAATTTAATAATATTTAGATATAATATAATAGGAGGCTACTTAATTGTGATTATAACCCTCTCTCAACTCTATAACTGCAAAATACAAACCGAATATGGCAACAGTATTCCATACAAAGACAGATTAGAGATTTATAGAGATTAAGAATAGAATCTGGAGTAAGAAAGTGGTGATCACAATAAAGAGATGCAACCTTAGCAGATGCTAATTTTGAAATGGATTTAATATATGGTTTCCATGAAAGATTGGAAGTAAGAATTAATCATAAAAGGCAAAAGGAAGATGACTCATCGAATACAATAAATAAATATAAGAAGATCTAGATTGTTGTGATAACAACTAGCTGAAAAGAACAGAGTTTTATCTAAGTTGAAGTTCACTAGCCATTTAGAGCTCCAGAAGCAGAAATGAGATCCTTTTCAAGCTCAAATGCCCCCTCCAAGCAATCAGAGGCTTCTTATCAAGACAAAAATAAAGGGTAGCATCATCAGCAAATATCCCACCTTAGATGTGAGAATTTCTAGGAGATTGTTAGTGTAAATTAAAAAAAGTATATAGCCAAGGATAAAACCTTGAAGAACCCCTGATGATACAAGAAATGAAAAAGAGTGCTGCCTATTGAGAGCAGCTTTTATACTATAATTGTTAAGAAAGAGTTCAATAATATTTTAAAGATATTACCTGATATATTGTAAGAATGAGCTTATGGAAAAGACCAGCATTCCACACTTTATCATCAACCCTTGGAATTAGGGTTTTATTCAGCAATGCCGACCTAGAATTGTTTGAGGTCGGCAAAAAATCACCGACCTTGTTTCTATGGTTTATGGTAAATTTTATAAAAAAGTTGATAAAACCTTTATCAATTTTTTTTTTGCCAAGCTGATGTTGATCTATATGGTTGGCAAATTAAAAAATAATAAAACCATAATATATGTGTAATATATATATATATATATATATATATATATATATATATATATATATATATATATATATATATATATATATATATATATATATATATATATATATATATATATATATATATCATAAAAGTCATAAAGTCATAAAGATTTAAAAAAACACTAAAATTGAAAAAACTTATGGCAGCTGTTAGTGAAGAATTGGCTAATGGTTATTTTTGTCACAATTGTTATGGTCATGTTTCTGTTGATTTAAGGGTTAGTTTTTTTTCTTGTTGTTTTTGTTGTGACTTTGTTAAGAATTAACTTTATACTAGATTGTTTAAATTTGGTTGTTTTTGTTTAAATTTACTTAAAAATCTTTAGATGATTTTATTATTTTTAAACAATTAACTTACAAAAGATTGTTAAATTCCACGGCTTCTGTTAATGCTAACCTTGGTGACCCAAGAACGCCACTAATATGAAAAGATAGCATATACATTAGGGTACCATGTAATGCATTTTTTAATATTTAAACAAGTCTAAAGATATCATTTAAGTGGTAAGATAAAATAAGTAATCAACTATAAAATAAAACCAGTTATGAAGTTTGAATGATGGTTCGTAAAAAAGTTTGAATAACAATTATATTTGATATTAGCTCTATTTACAAATATAAGAAGTTAAAAAAATAAGAAGAACAATTAAATTTTAATTTTTATTAATACTTAAATAGTTTTTACATATTTTAAGAAAGTCTTGACTAAAGAAACCTCTGAGAATTGTAAACCAAACATCAAACAGAAAGATGGTAAAGCCTAATTTTAAATAAATATTTTAAGAGTAGGTCAACACTTGAGTGATTTCCTGCAGTGACTTAAAAATTACTAATAGAAATAGAGATTCTGGTTTTGGATTGTTGCTCACTGCAAATCCAACTCACCACCACAACAACATCACACTCAAAAAACTGGCAAAAACACTGAAGTCAAAAAACAAATTTTTGTTTCAGTATCAGATGATTTGCCAAAAACCCTCTTCAGTATTGTACAAATCTGTAAATGGAGGTAAAGTAATTTCGGCTTGTGACATGAAAGTTATAAATTAAATTGTGCCCTTCAAACCCAATTAAGTATGCAGCCTTGCACATAGTGTGACATCAAATCCAAGTGTCTTTCCAAATCTGGAAATTTTTTTAATTTCACTCAATTTGAACATTTAAATTAAATTTTTTTTTGCAGACAAAATTTAGAGAATTCAAAATTTGCATCACAGAATACATTAATGTGACTTCTATCTTTCCATATAAGTGTCTGCTATCTTTCCATATAAGTTCTTTTGTCAGTTGTAAGTTGGATAAGTTGGCATTATCAGGATCTATGATAACCAAGATTCTTCACATAAATTTGATGCTTAATTAGTTTGAATTAACTTATTAATTATGAAAGATTAGTAATGGAGTTAATTTTCAAAAAATGTTATATAAGACTACAAATATTTCATAGCATTGAATAAAATATTGTTAGGTTTATTGTTGGTTGTTTGTTGCATTTTTTTATTATGAAATAATTAAGAAATGACAATAGGCTTACTATCAGAGTGATTTTTGAATTTGCCATATGGTTTGCTAAATAATAAAGTATAAAGTTTGCTTTAGTTTAGAGTTATTTGTAGAATTTATACAATAAAATAAAATAGTTTAATGTGAAAATTTTTTGAGTTCAATTATTCAATTAAAATAAAGTTATTTGTATCAGATTAACAAATCTTTTTAGGATTTTACATGTGCTGGTTGTGGAAATGGTTGCGTCGAGGAAAGCACTGAAGGAGCTGTACCAAAGTATGTCTGATCTTAGTTTCATAAAGTTATATAAATTCAACTGTATGTGTAAATCAAATTATTTTATGTTGTGTGGCATTAATAATTAGCGTGCTAATTATTGACAAAAGTCACAAGTTGTGACTTTTAATGGTGTCGAACAACATTTTATTTTTATAGTTATTTTTATTTAATTTATTTACTTTGCATTTCATGTATTGTAAATAAAAATGAATATTATGTATTTATGGTTGTATTTATTTGATTTATTTTACATCAAATATCAGTTAACTGATAAAAAGCCTTCCCATGAAAAAGAAATGTGGTATTATGCATGCCATTTTATGGAAAAAATCAATTGTGTTTTTGCCAAAGCACATTTTATAGGCTTGTGGCATAACATTTTCACTGTTATTTTTAGGATAGTCTGTTTTCAGCAACGAAATTTGATACAAGTTAGGAAATAAAACAGATTTTGTAAAAAAATTTAATTATGTTTTTAAAAATTTTAGAAAAGTTTGACATTTTTATCTTGTCGATTTTTTTATATTTTCATTTGCAACTATTGTTCTGAAACAAACAAAAAATAAGTACAATTTAAGATACTTCTTAATAAAACTCTTTAGAAAGAGTTCTTTTTGAAAATATTTATACAGAGAAAGTGGCACAATAGACATGACCAGACATGACCAAATAGACAAAGTGCAAATTTTTGTAAAATCTGTGGGCAATGATATATTGTTTTACTTTATGGCTTTTACTGATGCACATGTTTTTCATTCTAATTTTTAAAAGTAGGCATCAAGTAAAATAGAATATTAAAATACATTTTATTTTATTGTGTCTAAAAACAAACTCAAAAGCACTTTTTTTTTTTGGTCAGTATCCATTCTATAGATTTGGTGAGGTTAAGCAACTGAAAAAAAATGATAATGTTAAAACAACAGCATATTTAAAAATTGCTCCAAAATTTTATTTACAAAAAAAATCATGAGTGCATTTTTAATTTGACAATGTACTTTTTGCTAAAGTATAACATAGCTTTATGGCTTGTGCTGAGGATTATCCAAGCAATTGCATGCTGTTCCTGAGAAGGTAATGTATTTAAAATGAGATAGGTATTATAACAGTTTTTTTGAACATTTATAGTTTTTCCACATTAATTCTTTCATTTTTTGGTAAAAATGGAAATTTAATTTAATATATATTTGAGAAGATGTCACCAACTAACCCTTCTTATTAATTTTAAACAATTAAATATTTAAACTAAAAAATTGCCCTAACACCCATATCTTTTTGTCTCCCTATCTATCTACCATATTAAATATCTGTAATCAATTACTTTATATTTAATTTGTATAAACAAAACTATTAAAACTAAAATGATGCACACGCAGTACTGCACCATTTTTGAGGGATTGGTGAAAGTTGAATGGCTAAATTTATTTCAGATGGAATTAATGGTACTACGATCTGGATATCTTTTGCTAATTCCTTAATAGTATTCAACTGTCTTTGTATTAACAATTGAGAAATTTCCTATGTTTTTATGCAATATTTTTCCTTTAAAACTGCATTTAACTATCCCCTTGTTGCTCTTGCTATTACTGTATATTGTTTGGTTCTTTATGTCCTTCTTAGCCAAATTTAGTCCTTGAAGTATTGAATCCAGTTCACTTATATTAATATGGTGTGTATCACTTGCTGGCAGTAGCCATGCTGCTTCTTCAACAATTACTCCTCTATTGAGCAGGACTACACCAAGTCCTGTGCATCACAATAAAGCTAAGCTTTTCCATTCGCTGGCACCAGCCAATTTCCCAATAACAGAGTCCTCTTTTACCAGTTGATGACGGAAGTAATGATGTTGCCACAATCATTACATTATCAGAACCATCTAGCTGTCGTGCTTCCTGAGGTACTCGTTGAAGGTAACAGCTCAGCCTTTGCAAATGTAAATTCTTCAGTTTCCAGTAGTAACGTGTTGACTATAAGATTGTCGTTGCAACCTGTGATGATGTGATCGCTCATCTAGTCATTTTTATTCATAAATTTACTTCCTTCAGCAGCTCTTGCGATTCTTCGTGAAAATTTCGTCACTTTTGCTACTTGCTTTTTTTTATCAATAAAAAGTTTAAAGTTAATATTAATGATAACTTAGGTTTTAAAAACTTCATAATGTTTTCCTCAATGTCTTCGTAGGTAGTTGATTCATATTCTGGGTATGCAGGCAACCATAGATCTTCCAATGAAGAATAGATCTGTGGTGGCAAGCGTGTTAATGTTATAGTTTTTCTCTTGGATTTAGGTACGTCCATTGCAGTTATGTATATTCCTATTTGAGGGATGAACTGCTGATGGTTGCTATTGAATACTGGTGACATAATAGCCAAAATAGCTTGTTGCATTGTTGCGTCCATATGCTCAAAAAAACAAAACAAATTTAGAGTTTCTTTTTTTTCATCCTCTTTTCTTACACAAAATCATATCTATATATATAAAGTTAAAAGTCCCATGACAATACTTTTAATTGCAATCATCATTTAAAAAATCGTTAAACATTCATCACAAAATAATATATGACTTTCAACATGTTTATCTACATAGTCTCTAATACGTATAATTACATAATTATAATTCACCAACTTTACAATAAGCAGATAAAGTCAAACATGTTGATCTAAAAAATGCAGATAAAAAAGATAATTATGAATAAATTATAAATCATCAGTAAAAGATGGTTTGGGTCCAGGAGACAGAATCAGAAAGCTCTAGAAATACAGTAACACTAACACAATATTACTGCATAAATAATTTTTTTAATTTAAAAAATTAATATATTATTTACTGCAGTACTTTGTTTTACAGCTGACAATTTATTTATAATATTTTATAATAGTTTAAATACATGTTGAAATTACTAAATTATTACTTTTTCTTTTTTTTTTTTTGCTTATATATTTACACTTTTTTTTAATATATATACAACACTACTTAGCACCTTTGACAACTAAATTAATAACTATTTCAAACTAGTAAACCATTTAATCATTCAGTTTTTAAATTTTCCTTAAGTACAGTGTAAGGCTTTTTTTTTTAGGCCTACTTGCAGTATTTTTTTTTAAAAATATAACAAATGATATAAGACTAAATTACTTCATGATATACAAATGCTCAAAGAAATAAAAAATTTTAATAGATTGCTTATTTATTTGATATAAAGTCTGATACTAAATTATCATGGTATTATATACAAATATATTTATTTTATTAAAATTAAAATGGTAATTTTTGTGTAGGACAATTATAATTCCTGTATATAATGGGTGTTACACAGTAGTTAGGAAGTACCACATGAAAAAAAAAAACATTACCATACAGTATACCTAGGTTTATAACTAACTTATAGCTAAAAATATAAATTAAAGTTAGTGTTTATACATATATTTTTCCTTATAATGATTATATACTAAGACAATACTAGATTAAAAAAAAAAAATTTTCAAAAATTTGTGCCAAAAAAAAAACTAAAATATGTTAGCATACTAATGACAGAGCCAAGTGTTCTGTCATTAGTATACTAACAGATTTGATCAGTTTTTTTTACATTTTCTTATTCTGAGTCTGAGATTTGCTCTGGTTCTGGTTCTTAGACATGATAAAACAATAGTTGTTTTTTATTCACAAAGTTTTTTTCAGCGAATCTTAATTTAGTCTTAAACCAAGTTAATTTTTAAATCAAAATTTTTAATTCTTTTTCTTCAAAACTTTTAATTATTTTGAAAAAGTAATTTTTTGGAATAATATTAATTTTTTGTTGAAATGAAATAGTTCGTTTGTTGAATCCAATGCTCTTGAGCCGATTCAGCAATTTGCGGATGTAAGTTTTTTTTTTTTGTTTTTTTTTTTTTCAAAAGTTTATGTATTTATGCTTGTTTAATATATATTATTATTAATATATATTTTTTTAATTTATATATAAAATACATTCTTTTCAAGTTAAATATTATTTTCGTTTTTAATAGCCACATATAATTTACTTTAAATATTTCAGTATTTAGATATACATTAGTTATATATTATACATATAATGATGTTAAATATAATTATACATAAATCGCATATTTAGCTATACCTAAGTAAATTTTATATAAACATTCTTTTGTAATGACTTTTTTAATTGTTTCTCATTTTATATAAAATATAACCATACAGGAGTGTTACTGAAGACATTTTATATAAAATATAACCACACAGGAGTGGTACTGAAGACATTTTATATTAAATATAAAATGTCTTCAGTACCACACAGGAGTGGTACTTCAGTGCTACACAGGAGTGGTGCTGAAGACATTTTGTAATAACTATCTTATTAAAGTTTTTTTTTTATGAAATATGACCAAACAGGAGTGGTACCAAAGACATTTTGAAGGAAGAGAAAGGAGGAGAAGAGCAGGTAAACTTTTTAAGTGTTAGGGTTAATTGTAAACTGTTTGTATATATTTAGCTATCGATGCAAAACCAGAACATTAGTGTGAAGGTCTTTTTTTTTAATTTAGTTCCTAAGATACCAGGTGTTGGATACTAGATTGCTTTTAAAATAAAAATCTTAAGTGTTTCGTAAAATAATCATAAAGCCAACTAAAAAATAGTTTTTCTCATAACAGTTACAATAAATGTTGCTTACTTATTGGAAGGTCCAACCTATATTTCAAATGGTGCTACAGCATACAAAAAACATATTATAGCATACAAGTCTTAGAAGTAGACTGGGCCTTAAGATGTTTTTCCTCTATGCTACTTTTGGCATTCAACACACTTTTATACACACCTTGGTTACTATTCTTGGAATCTCCTGAATTTCCAAGAGCTCCCTGAAAACAAATCTTGGAAAAAGCAAAAAATAAATTTAACTCCTTAAAAAAAAATTCAAAAAATGTTTATTGCAGCATTTAGTTGCCTAGTTGCATAAATATTGAAAAAAATTATTAAAAATGTAAAATGTTAAAAAGAAACTATGAAAACCTGCATTTTTGCATTAAAGTTTTCAAAAAATCACCTGCATTAAAGTTTTCAAAAATCACCTGTATTGAACGTTTAATAATAAGATACTTTCTATTTTTTACAATATGTTTTTTTATGATACGTTTTTTGATGTGTTGAAAAACAGTTACTTATTTAATGATAAGATGGATTTGCGGATACTTCTAAAGTTTTAGCTTTATTGTTTTACTTTTCTTCATTTTTTGTTTTACTAGTTATCTTATATTCTTTATTGATTATTGTTTTAAACCTTTTTTTTTTCTTTTTTTTTTCTATTAAGTTTATTTATAAATTTATTCCAGGATGTTTTTAAAATTTCTTCTTAAAAGCATCCTAGAATAACTTACTTTGGGAAATCTCCAAATTTTCTGTTTAAAAAGTCATTAACTTTGTCTAAATTTTTATTCTATTTTGTTCAATTTTAAAAATGTAGGATCTCATATGAGAACGAGCGGTCCACAAATGATGTTTCAAATTGGCAATGGACAAGGCTCATCAGTGTTTTATTCATCTGATGTTGATAGGCCATTTGGGACGTATGTAAATACAAAATTTTATCACTAAACAAGTTTGTTTTTTTATCTTATTATTTTAGTTAATATTTGAAGTTTTTGTTATTTTTTAAAGTTATACATAAGTTATCTAAAGTTGAAAGTTTGAAAAAAGTGAATTTATTTTTAAGTATTTTATAATGTATATAATGTAGCTTTAATTATATATCGTAATACTTAATTTTCTATTTTAAGTAAAAATATTTTATTCTTTTTCAAATTGTTATTTTGTATGTTTTATATATTTTTTTATCTTTTTAAATTCAAAACTAAAATTCATATAATACTTTTTCTCAACAAGCTTCAAGAGGCCTGAGTTACAATGGATGAAGGTTTTAATGAATCAAAGGATGTTTACCTTTAAATAGAGATGTCCTTACTTAACTCATTTATCTTTTATTATATTTATTATTATTTTTTGTTCTATTATTATTTATAATAGTTACAATTATTTGTAAGCAATTATAAAATTATAAGTAATAAGTCAGCGTAAAACAGGTCATTTATTAGGTCATTATATAATTGTAAATAAGTTAATTTTTTAACATTTTTCAATCATTTCTCAAAGAACTTTCTTTTTTTAATACTTATACTTTTTTTTAAATGCTTATTTATATATATATTAGTTTGAGAAGTGTGTTGATTTGTTATACTAAAATTCCTGTTATTAATACACTTTGACTACCTACAAATACCTGTTAGTATTCCAAATAGCTAGTTTTGAAGCAGCAAGATTCGCTTTGTCATAGAAATATTATAGTTCTTTTATTATAGGAAACCATTGTATTTTTATATTTTATTATCTAGTTAAAATTTGAAGTAAAAGACTTGAAATAATTATTATAACATTGTTATTATGTCAAATCTAACAAAAGTTCATTGTATACATTTTCCAAAGTTGAGAGAGTATTATAGTTAAAGTGTCTTCTAATTAGTTTAAAATTGTTATATCAAAAGCATATAAAAACAAGTTAAAATGTTTTGTATTTTACTTTTCTTTTAGATTTTTTCAACAACTGCTACAGAATCTTGGACTACCGAGTAAGATACATTTCTTTTTTCATTTTTATGAAGTAGGATGATTTATCATATAAATATATATATACATATATATATTGTTGGTATACAAAAGAAATGCAATTCCAAAAACATCATTTTGAGATAATGAACAAATAAGTTTTTGCGTAATAGTTGAAATAAGTTTTTGTGTAATAGTTGAAATAAAAAATCTTAATAACACATTAATAATTGATTTATTAAATTAGTGTGGTATATAAAAACGATACTGCCATAATGTTGGCTCCAAGTCAAGCCTCATTCTTCCATGTTTTTCACCTTTTTGTGCAGTTGCTATATCTGATTGCAGGGCAATTTCATTTGAAAACATCCAGGACATGTGACCCTAAGTCTCAGATTTTTCTGTTTTTAAACAGAAAAATCTGAGACTTGAAAGATTTTAGTAAATTATGAACATCCTGAAAGTTTTATTGTCTAATTTCAATCGGTTTTATATCACAATTTTACTGGGGCAAGTCCAATCACAAAAATGCTGATGCCTTTTTTTTTTTTTTTTTGATGTCATTAATAATTAAGTATAGTTATTACAAAAAAAAATCACTTAAAGTTGAGCAATTGATATTCAAATTAAGTTTATGCACCCTCATGGTCCTTCTCAAAACTTCATTTGGCCACAGAGAGATGATATCTTTTGGGTAACATTGTGGAATTTGATTGCAGTAATCAATGTCCCAAGAACACAACCAGGGCAAATATAATATTAATGTAAATGATTATAACACTATAACTAATAAATTTTATTTTTTGAGTTTTTAATTTTTAAATTTTGTGCATTACTTTTGTTTCTTGAACTTCTTTCCAAGTGCTCTATTTGTTTTGGAGTCTGATTTTTAAGTTTATTTGTCTTAGTTTGATAAATATGAAACTAATGTTTTATAAGTAATAAATTTAAGTATATTTGAAAATGTTTTTATTTCTGTTTTTTAATCTGATTCTTTGTAATAACTCTAACTAAACTATTTAATACAACTTCTGAAAAAAATTTGCGATATACATCTGCATTTTATTTAATTCTCCCCCTTTGAAACTATAATTTTTTAGGATCAGATTTTATAAAATTACAAAGAAATTAGGAACAAAAAGTCAAGAACATCTAAAAGAACATTTCGATATAGACAAAACTGTTTCAATTAAAAAACTGTCAAGTTGCTACCTTTTTTTTTCTCTTTTGATTTATCATAATACTTGTCTTTTAGGCAATAAATTTAAGTAGATTTGACCATATTTTTATTTCTGTTTTAGAAAAGACCACTCACCAATTTTTTTTTTTTTTTTTTTTTTTTTTTTTGTGTAATAACTATAACTTAACTATTCAGGACAAATTCTTTAAAAAAAAAATCTAGCTGCATCAGTTTTTTTTGATTTGTTGGCCCAAAATATGTAATAGTTATATTTTCAGCTTTCCAACACATCTATCTGAACCTAGAACCAAAACCAAAAATAGCTATATCTTGGGAACCAACTGAAATTAGACAATAAAATTTTTAGGATGGTTTAAATAGTGGTTTAAATATTACCAAAATTTGGCACTTAGAATTGCATTTTCAAAAAAAAAAAATTGGATGTTTTCACATGGAATTGCCCTGTAATAATTGTTATACATTCAAATCACTCTAGCTTCCGTTGCTAAAGTCATCTCAATTAAACTCATCTATGGCTTGTGTTCCAGACAACATTCCTGTCATAATCTTATAATCTGTTATTTGATAACAGATTATAAGATTATGACCCATCTTAAGTCAAATAACTTACACAACTCCAACAAAACTCAGTTATTTATTGCAAACAACTATCGCAATGCTTTCAACATTTCTATATTGATGAATGGCAACTCTTCACTGAGTCCTCTTCTTTATGTTTTCTTGGATTATCGTTCCTTTTTCACGCCTCATAGAAACCATATTTACAATCAATTGCTAAGTTAGCATTTACTAAGGTTGCTTCTCTTTATCCTGCTTGCCTTTTTTTTACTCCTTATTCTATATTTTCCCTTTACAAATCTCTTATTTACCCTGTATGGAATACTATTGTCATATTTTTGCTGGTTTTTCTGATGATGCTCTTTCTCTTCTAGACAAGATCAAAAACACATTGTAAATGTAGTTGAACCAGGCTTGGTCAGGAAGGCGTGCCATTGCACGCCATTATATGACCATGCAAATAATACTTTATTTTGACGATTTGACCACAGTTTTTAATATTTTAAAAATGCGCTGAAAAAAATTATTTTTAATTACGACAAAAATGAATAACTTTTATCTTTACTGACGTTTTTATATTAGCGAATTGCTTTCAAATAGAGTAACAGTTAGTGATAACGTTTTAATTTAAAGTATAGAAGAAAGTTGTATAAATTTTTTATTTATAATATTTATACACATTTAAGATTATATAAATAATAAATAAAATAATATATAAGATTTTTTTATAATTAATCTTATAATTAATCTTTAAATTTTATAAGCGACGACTTTAAACAATGATTGTCTCTTAAATAAACTTTATTTAAGAATCATTCAAGTTAATACACTCAAAAATATTTTGTTGAGAAGAAAAAAAGACAAACTTTTGAATTAAAGATACCCGTTTGAATTAAAATTTGATCTTTACTAACGCTTTTATATTATTAAAATGCTTTTAAATAAAGTAACAATTTCCTGCTAATGATTTTTTTTACATTAAAGTATTAATGTATTTTTCTTTTCATCTTTAAATAAAAAAAAATTAAATTAATAACAAATTAAATCAAATTATAAATTAAAGGAATAGTTTTGTTCATTATTTTTTGTTTTCATCTTCACTTTTCCTCATTTGCTTTCTGGTATATATAACCACGTCCCTGGTAGTACCGCGCTCAACTCGTTTCTCCGCGCAGCGGCCTTGTTCGTCAAGGTTCGTGTTTCGGAGTCATAGAGTTGAGAGAGGGTTATAGCCACAAAAAAAGTAGTCTCCTCGTCTGTAGTGGCCTTCTCGGCCTTGAGGAGGTGAAGTAAAAAAAAAAAAAAAAAAAAAATAGGATTTCTGACAAAAGAAAAGATTTAATTATTTTACTTTTGTTTACATTACTATGAAGAATTGAAATAAAATAGTTTCCTCGTTAAGTTTAATATATTTTTTTTTTTAAATACCATTTATGCACGATCAAATTTTTTATAAAAACAAAAGTGTTTATTTGCATATTTTTGTCAATTAGTACTATTTATTATTATTATTTGTTACTATTAATATAATTTTATATAGTGGGGTAACAAAGCATACGGGACACTACTAGTTTTACATTATAAAAACTTTAGTAAAGATTTAAAGTTATTTATTTCAAACGTAATTATCTTATTGTTTATTATTTATTTTAGTTAATTTTTGTTTTTAGTCTTTTTTATTTTTGTTTTAGCTATTTATTACTAAGCTATTTTTATTTTATTTTTCATTGTTTTTTAAAGAAGATTTTTTTCTTTTTTTATATATTTGTTTTTTTAGTTTCTATATAACTAACTTAAGTTTTCAGCGCTTTATTAAAATGTTAAAACTGTGGTCAGATTCTTAAAACAAAATATTATTTGCGTAGTCATATAGAACCGTGAAATCGCATGCCTTCCTGACCAAGCCTGAGTTGAACCCGCTCTATCTGCCAAGCTTGAGCTTCACTCCCATCTTCGTAAAGTTGATTCTTTTTCTTTTTCTACTAATACTAATTTTCTACAAATCATGGTCGCTACTTAAAGAAGCTATTATTTCTAGTTTTGTCAACTAAAACTCATTCTTGGTTGACTCATCATTTAGCATAGTCACATCCTTTTACTATATCTGTTCCTGCATGCTCTAAAACCTTTTATTCTTCTTGTTTTTTCCCTGCACTTCAACCCCTTTGGAACTTTCTCCCATGTTTTTCTGGCTCATACAACCTTTAACATTTCAAATCTTCTATCAACTGCTTCCTTGCTCTTTAATTCTATTCTTTGTTTTCTAGTAACTCCCAACTTAATAGTGGTTGCTTGCAGCCTTGTTATCATGACTACTATCGTTGACTACATTGTTATCATAACTACTATCAGTGATTCAGAATTCAGAAAAAAAAATTAAAATTCCCAGAAGTTAGCATATTTTTAGGCTTGTACTTTGAAGTTTCTGGTGCTGTATTATGAAGCTTCTACTACTGTTGGAAAAATATATACTCTATTGTATTTAATTAAATTGTATTTTCTTAGAAACTTGCTGTAGTTTTATATCGGCATGCTCTTATATCGGCATGCTCTATTCTCATAATCTTCAATATACACAAGCTAGGGATTTTTAAGTAAAACTTTTTTATGTTATCTGTGACACACTCTATCTAATTTTTCCTATTTTAACCTATTTCTCCTGTTTTCTCTTAATATATTATCATAACATAATTGTTTGCATATTTATGTTCTCATGCTCAAACCGCATTAATATTCCCTGGCATACTAGGTTGGTTGAAAAGTTCGCGGAGCGGAAATGAAAAAACAATTTTATGATTCAAAAAATGACTTTATTCTTCAGTATATTCTCCCTTAAGAGCAATACACTTTTTCCAACGATTCTCCAATTCATGTATCCCATCTCTAAAGTGCGATTCCGGAAGGCCTTCAAAATACCCATTTACGGCTGCAATGACTTCTTCATGTGATGAGAAACGCTTTCCACGTAGAAATTTTTTGAGATGTGGAAAGAGGTGGAAGTCGGACGGAGCCAGATCTGGTGAATAGGGTGGATGTTTCAAGCGTTCGTACTTTAATTCGACCAATTTCGCCTTTGCAACATCGCTGATATGAGCAGGTGCGTTGTCCTGGTGATAAATGATTTTTTTATGCAGCAAACCAGGTCTTTTCTCACAAATTTTTTTATCCAACTGGTCCAAAAGATTTTTATAATATTCACCTGTTATCGTTTTACCGGTTTGAAGGTAATCTATTAATAAAATTCCTTTCGCATCCCAAAAAACTGATGCCATAACCTTCTTTGACGATTTTGACGCCTTCAATTGCTTCGGAGCTGAACAACCGGGTTCTGTCCACTCTGCAGTTTGTTGTCGCAGCTTCGGATCATAGTGGTAAACCCAAGTCTCATCCATGGTTACGAATCGACGCACAAAATCTGTTTTATTCTTTTGAAAACGGGCCAAATGTTCTTGAGAAAGTTTTACTCGAGTGCGTTTCTGATCCAGAGTTAGCGAATGCGGCACCCATCTTGCCAACAGCTTTCTCAGACGTAATTCATCGTGCAAGATGTGTAATACCCGTTCATCTGAGATGCCCACAGCCTCAGCAATTTCACGTTTGGTCAATCGTCTATCATCCATAACCATGTCATGCACAGCATTAATCGTTTCTTCAGTAGTAGCACTTTTTGGACGTCCAGAGCGAGGGTCATCTTCAAGGCTTGAACGCCCACGTTGAAACTCCGCAGCCCATTTGCATACTGTTGTTTTTGAAGGAGCATCATCACCCAACACATTTACCATTTCATTATGAATTTCCATGGGCTTTAAACCTTTTTTCACAAAGAGTTTTATTACAGCACGATGTTCAATATTTTCCATTTTAAAAAATACTATGACACGTCTAATTTCAATAGCTTGTAAACAAAGACTGAAATGACATATCTACTTGAAATTTTTTATGCGTTCATACGAAGAATGAATACGTTTAATACAGTTATAAATTTGTTTCTACTACTGCAACATAGGTGCCGCTCCGCGAACTTTTCAACCAACCTAGTATATCATTGATTCACATTCCATGTGAATAAATGATATATGTACAATTTTAGTGAGAATTTGTGTTATGCATTTTTAAATTTCTTTTTATTAACAATGTGTTGTTAAAATTTTAGTGATGATGGATGGAACAAATTTTAACATGTAAGATTGAAATAAAACTTTTTTAATTAGAGATAGCATTAAAGAGAAACAAAAGTGTCTTTTCATAAATAAACCTTAAAAAGTAAGTTTAGAGTTGATTAAAGTTTCTAAAGCAAATTATTTATCAAGATATTTATAAAAAACTTCATCATTTCTAACACCATATTGAATTTTTCCTTTTTGTAAGGTTAAAAAAGTTATTTATTATTAAACTTCAGTTATAACTTTATGGAAAAAAATAAATAAAACGTTGTGAAAGGTGAAAATTTTCAATAATAGTATTGTTTTTTTAAACTTATTTTTAATAAATATATTTTAATTGAAGAAGAAAAAAAATATCATAACGATAGTTCAGACAAAATTAAAACAATATTCACATTGTTTAAATAAAAATGAAGAAGATACAGAATTTATAATAATCTGGTCAAAATCCTTATGTAAAAGTTCACTGTAAAGAATCTTTTTTTTTTTTTTTTTTATTAGGTTTTGAATTACACTTTTTTTAGCAAAAAGAAGGATGTTGGTCTTTATATAAAATTTTAATAAGTATTTAAAATACCTGTATAAAAATACCAATATAACAGTGGACACAAGATATGTTTAACATGTCTAGAAAACATATTAAAATGTATTACAATGTTTTTTAAATGTCTAAAATGTTTTGTGCTTACTGGGAAGTTCTAATATAAAGAAGATGTATAAATTTAAAATTATCCTTACCTATTTGTTAAAAACAAATTAGTCTAATTACATCTAAAAACTGAAAAATAAATTTTGTTTTAGGTTTTGTGAAAAATATTACAAATAAGTTTGATTTGCTGATTGTTTGTGAAAACAAAATACTGTTTATGTCAATTTTTATTAAAAGTGGTTTTTTAAGAAAAGTTACATTTTTCATTTTTTCAAAAGCCTCCAATGACACTATAAACTAAAATTCAGGGTGAACTTTTTTTATAACTACTAAAGACAATGTAATCCGGTCAAAATAGACAAAAAAATAGTGGTAGATTTGCAATAATTCACATAGAACTGAAAATTGATACATACCTTATTACAATTATTAGCACATTATTACAAATAAAGTATCAAAAGTCCCCATCGATCTCATATCTGCAAAAAAAATTTATTCAAGGTCAAAGATATAAAAAAAAAGTTTTTTTTTTATTTAAATAAAAAAAAAAGGAAATGTTTTAGCATAAAAATAGATTAAACAAATGCGAAGTGCATTTTAACACATTTTTGAGTAAACTGTTTCAGTGGCTTTTCTTTGATCTTGTATAAGAACAATGAAAAATGCTTTTTTTGAATAATTTTTTAAACTGATTTTTCTTGTCTAACTTCCCAAAATTCTTGGAACAAAGTTACAAACGATGAAATACTTTTAGTGTTGAACGTTCTATTGCAGTGAATAGTATCAAGTATTACGATTTGAACCGTTTAATACTTTTATTAAAAAACTATGTTATAGTATCGTGGAATGATGACTTTGATTGATACAAGTGTTAAAAGAAGTGACGCTTTTTATAAATACCTGAAAGATCTGAAGTCTGTGACGATTCATGTGGTGTGCCACAAAAAGTATACTCGGAAGAGTACTATTGCTGCATTTAATAGACCGCAAGATATAGATCCAGTTAGCACATCTGAAATTAGTCCACCTCGTACCAAAGCGCGCGTAAGTAAATCACTTTTTTGTTTAAAAAAATGTTGCTTATTTTGCGGCGATGAAGCGAACAAGGAGGCTGAGAAGAAGAAATCGATGAAAGTTCAGCATTAAACTCATAAAGCTGCTACTCTTGAATTTAAAGAATCAATTTTGAAGGTAGCATGGAGTCGTTCTGATGAGGAAACAAAAAAGGTTACTGCACGCATTGATAATGAATTTAATGCTGAACTTTCCAAAAAAAAAAGCCAAAATAAAGTAGAAGAACGATTTCAAATTTTAAAAGCCGCGGTAGCAATCATTCGAGAGGACATTCAATCATTAGTATTTGATAATTCCAAGTATCCCTCTCCTTTGTCAAATGTTTGAAGATATTATCAGCGATATTCCATAGTCATTGACTTATTTTTTAGAGCAAGTTACTTTTTAAAAAAAAAGATCTAAATCAGAATATTTAAAATTAGTGTGTACAAGTATCAGCCACAGCATTATGGCAAGTTTTGGGACATCGGTTGGGAAGGAGGCGTGAACTTTCTATTAAATGCTCTTCCGCGGTGCTCTGTTATAAGACCATAAAGACTTCTTGGGGCACCTTAATTAACTTTAAAAAAAAAAAAAAAAAAAAAGGTAGCAGCAGTTCTTCACTGTGCACTTTTTATATTACGTCCACAAACTGGCACATTTATTCAATGCGTTGCGGACAGTGCTGATATAAATGTAAATATTTTAGACGGTAATAACTTGCTTCACATAATTGGTATCATTCAAATTGTTACCCTAAAAGGTTCAGTTTCACAAAAGGATCATATACCACGAATATATGAAATCCCTTCTGCAAAAGACTTTGGAACAAAAGCAAAATTAAAATGTGCCAATTTAAATCTATCAAAATGATGGTGTAGTTGGTTATAGTAAAATAAATGTGCAAAATTTAGCTTATGAAAGTGAAGCACCAATATCTTTAATCCAAAAAGTTGAAGCAATATGGTTCTATGGTAAATGAAAGAATTTATCGTTACCCAGTTGGAATGGTTATATCGAACGTTTAACAAGTAGTCTAAAAAGTCTAAAATATTATTCTTACTGTTTATTCACCAACTATCAAGTAACTGTACAATTTACACGACTTTACTATGTGCTTTAAAAAATGCAAAACATTACGGCCACGAAGTATGCATTATTACTTTCGATCAACCTCTATGCAAAAGCTTGTGAAAATGTATCTGATGCACCTGATGGATCTGGATTATCAAAGATTATAATAAGACTTGGAGAATTTCATTTACTAATGTCATTTTTTGGATCAATTGGTTATATTATGCAAGGAAATGGCATACAAGAGGCACTTTCATTAATTTATGCACCTAAATTGTTAGAAAAAATGCTCAATGGCCATGCTTACGCTAGAGCTGTTAGAGCCCATACATTACTTCAGCTCACTTTAGCTATAATAATTTCAATAGATCTTGCTATTGATGAGGAGATGGTAGCCAATCTTGATATTACCATTAAGGATGTCATAAATAACAAAGTTTCATTAAGGATGTCATAGCAAATTATAACAAAGTCATAACAAAGCATTACTTTATAAGTTCAATGAAAAACTAAAACAATTAGAAAAATGAGGGCACTTTTTTTTAGCAAAAAGAAGTATTTTTAATACACTTTGATTCATTAACTTTTCTAATTGTAGCAGGATATGCTACAATTAAAGTGTTACAATTAAATGTTTATCAAAAGATTTTTCACTGTTAGACGTTCTGATAAACTCAATTGTGGTACTTCAATGGATATGGTAATTTAGCAATCAATGATGAAATTAATGAAGACATATGGAAGTATTTCTCAAGGAAGAAGTACAAAAGAGAGTCTTATATATAAATGGGATTATGACATGCATGCAATGAACACTGTATGTGATGGTTTAGAGGATCTTGCTAATATTAGAATGTCAACAGATCAGCATGTAGATGCAAGTGATTCATGAATAAAGAAAGATGATAAAGATGTTGGAAAACTTCAACAATTTAAACAAGTGGTTTTTATCACATGGTCCTAAAATTAAAGAAATCATTTCAATTGCTAGTGGAATGGTTGGTGATAATAAAATCAACTGTCATAGAGCTTGTGAAGTTGGGATTGCTTCTGTCTAAAATGTTAGGTGAAACATTTAATATCAAATTAAAATGCACTGATAAAGTTCAACCTCTTCTAACTTCTAAAAGTTCATGATTAGAAAGTACCTGTAGATCCAGTATTACTATATCAACGTATGAGTATTACTAAGACATTTGAGGATGAAATAGAAAAAAATTTTTGAGGATGAATTAGCCCTCTATCTTTTATCAATGTTTGATGAATACGTAAAACACAGAAATGGAAGTTAAAATTGACAACACAAATGCTAGTTACATCATCGATGGAGGGTATTTATTACAATGTGGGATTGAGAAGCAACCTTTAACATTATGTGGGATTGAGAAGCAACCTTTAACGTTACTTTTGATAAATACATTCAGTATGTACAAAGACATTTTAGTCATTGAGTGTCTATACTAATATTTGATGGATATACTGATTATAAGAAAAATATTAAAGCTGCAGAACGGTGTTATCAAACCACAAAAATATCTTCTATATCTTTCCATTAAGTTTTTGTTTATTTTAGTCATCGAGTGTCTATAGTAATATTTAATGGTTATAGTGATTATAAGAAAAATATTAAAGCTGCAGAACAGCGTCGTCGAACCACAAAAATATTTTATTCACCTGATGTCATTTTTGATCACTTTATAACAGTTCCAACAAATCAACAACAATTCCTTTCTAATACTCATAACAAGTCTCACTTCATTTTTATGTTATGCGAAAGATTTACAGCTGCAAATGTTATAGTGAAGCAAGCAGATAATGACGCTGATGTCCTTATAATTGAAACAGCCATAGAACAATCTAATGCAACAAGTACTTCTATTGTTGTTGGTGAAGATGTTGACTTATTAGTATTACTGACTGCACGGACTCCAATTGATAAGATTATTTACTTTTTAAAACCCAGGAAAGCTCATCGACCAACAGAAATATATTCATCTGCTTATCCAAAATGTCAAAATCTTATTTTTACATGCAATTACTGGCTGATAAACTACATCAGCAATTTTCAGAAAAAACAACCGCATTTAAATTATTTGTTAAAACAACCGCATTTGCGGTAGTGTTACAACACTCGCTTCATAAGCGAGAGGTTCCGAGTTCGATCCCCACCACATCCCGCACTCAACTTGTTTCTCCGCACAGCGGCCTTGTTCGTCAAGGTTCGTGTTTCGGAGTTATAGAGTTGAGAGAGGGTTATAACCACTATTAAGTAGCCTCCTTGTCTGTAGTGGCCTTTTCGGCCTTGAGGAGGTGAATAACAAAAAAAAAAAAAAAAAATATTTAAAAAATGTGATTTAATTAATTGTGCCTAAGTGTTTCAAAAGATAAACTCTTCACCACAAGACATTGTTACAAACAGAGTTCGTTTTCTTCTTGCTTTATATGGAGCTTCAAATAAGATTGGTTGTTTAGACAAGTATAGATACCTAACTTTTGTAAAAAAACACCCGGAGTAATAAAAGAGTGCAGTTATCTTGTCTTCCTCCAACATCTGCTTCTTCTAGCCAACACTTGTATCTAGTATATTATTAAGTTCATGTATGGCTAGGCAATCAACTGGACTCATTAGACTGGGGTCGGAAATTAGTAAATAATGCATTAGAGCTGATTGACACTTTACTCCCACCAGTTCCGGGAAGACTTCTCATCACCATCTTCTGCAACTGCAAAAAAAGGTTGTAGTACAAAATGTAGCTGTAAAAAAGTCAGGTTATTTTGTTCATCGGTGTGTACTGATTGCCGAGGCCAGTCTTTCTCCAATGTTGAATCCAATTCAATAAATAATGATTTTGATGATATTAATGAGTAGACAATTGATGTATCTTTTTCACATATCCAGCTTGAAAAAGAAGATGACTACAAAGAAGAAGAAAGCAAAGAAAATACTAAAATATAATATATCACACTAATACGAGTATATAATAAATAATATGCATTTAATAATAAATAATATATACAAATATAATGTATATATTATTGGTATATTAAATTCGTAATTTCACAAGAATCGCAATGACTTTTCTACCATTATATTTTATATAAAATTGCAATATATTTAATATATTTTCGCAATATACCTTCTCGCATTATATTTTTGCGAGAATTGCAATATCTTAGGAATAATGATTCTTATGAAAATGTTTAAAGGCAATTTTAGTAAACACTTTCATGATCTAATACTTTTGTTTGATCTATTTTTATAATAAAGCGTTTTCTTTTTTTCTTTTTTTTTTTTAAACACCTTTTTTTTATACCTTTGACCTTGAATAACTTTTGCAGATATGGGATTGATGGGGACTTTTAATACTTTATTTGTAATAATGTCCCAAAGGTATGTACCAATGTTCAGCTCTATGTGAATTATTGGTAATTGAAATGTTTATTTTGACCAAAATAATGGTGTCCGGCAAAATTTACATTAAAATTGTGTAATTAGTAACACAAGTGATTCTATTTTTCTTAATACATGCTTAGCCAAATTGTAATCATAACAATAAAATTTATTAATCATGTACAGTTTATATTTTGTTTTTGCGTTTACTTTTAACTTGTTTAGATTTATTTTATAACACCTAACAATTTTGTTTTTATTGTTAATATTACAACATATAGTTTATAAAATATCTGTATGGTAGACAGCCCAAAACATAACTGTATGGCTAAGCAACAAAATAGCTGAATTTTTTTTTGTTAATATCTCGATAAAAAAATTTGTTTTAGTATGTTCTATTAACCCAATAATTTTTTTCAATGTTTATTTATGAAATAAAAACAACTTGTCTTGGCACTTAGAGATCTCTTTAAAAATAGTATTAGTATTTAAAATAATGTAATGATACTTAATTATGTTGGAAATCATATTTTAGTGGTAGTGGACAATTAGGTGATTATGTTTGGGGCCCAAATGGACTAGACAATATTATTACACAGGTGAGTTTTTAAAAGCTGAAATGTTTGCAAAAATGTTCTTCTATTTGTTAAAAGTTTGTGGATTACATATATTTGACTTTTATAATCTTTTATGGATAAATTTTTTTGTGCTTCAGGTAAGCAGTTGTTTGTATTTTTTTCATCCATTTCTCACCACAGATGTAATCTTGTATAATATTGTAAATGCCTTGAATATGCAACTCTTTGTTGCATATGCTCCACTATCAACTTATTATAGAAACCATGTATATATGGTTTCTAATTCAATCAATGTAAAACCTGAGCCTCTGTCCTATTGTTATAAGATTGTATCTCATTTTCTTTCCTACAAATACTACCATGGTTACTGTTCCAGTAAGCTGTCATCACTTGCTCCATCAAACTAAACTCAATCTTTCATAACTTGTTATTCAGCAAATTTGCATATTTTTACCGTTCTTTTATGATCATAAAACTTTAATTTATGGATTGGTGCTTTGAAGTTCTCTTCTGTCTTCATGTTTTCCTGACTTTTACAACAGTTTTTTTAATTATTTGCTTTCTTGCTCTTCTTTGTTTTCTTTATTTCCTAGTGTTACTTGTGGGTAACTCATTACTTTTTAATTAAACAATATTTAACGATATTATTTGTATAATTTAATCACTTATTTAAAGTAGTTAAAATAAAGATTTATTTAAACCAAGCATTTCGACAAAAAAAAATCAAGGAATTATTAAAGGACATATTTTATCGTTGGTACAACTTAGATCTTTGTATAAAATGATTAAGAAATTATTAGGAAAGGAATCGATCAAAGTTTCAATAACCACTATTTAATTACTGGAAAATTATTTTTTAGAGTTAAAAAATGTGCCAATAATTAAAAGAAAAGATGGTTTAAATGGCAAAAAAGCTGAATGTCGACATCGACCATTAAAGCTAAATTTACGGTAAATTTTTCAGATGAAATATTTATTAAAAAAATGACTACCAACTATTTCTGAATTATCTAGAAAGTTTAAAATATCAAGAAAGTCAATTAAGTTTTAGAAAAAGTTTCAAAAGGATGTGTACATGCATTATCACCTTCAAGAAAAGGTTTACAAAGTCAATAAAAAATTTACAGATTTCTAAGACAAAACTAGAGTACCCTATTACAAAAAGAAAAATTTTCCAAAATCTGTCATGGTATGGCAAAGAATTTGTGCAAAAGGATTAACATTTCTAATATTTGTCAAATCAGGAGTTAAAATTAATTCAAGTAACTATATAGAGAGTGTTTTAAAACCATTTGTTAAAAATGATATCAAAAGATTATATCCAACAAATGACTTTTATTTCCATCAAGACTTTGTACCTAGTCACTCTTTGAAAATGACCATTAAATTTCTAACTGACCAAAAAATCAAGTTTATTCATCCTGAAATATGAACACCAAACTCACCAAATAATGTACCTATGGACTACATAAAGTTATATGTTAAATAAATTAAAAACACGAAAAGCAAAAAATATTACAGAACTTATTTGGAATATAAAAGATAAATGGAGAAACATCCCTCAAGAAATTATAAATAAAGCATTGATGTCCTAGTCTAAACATTGTAGACTTCTCTATGATAATAAGAGTCAACAAACTCTTAATTTTTGTTTTTCTTGAATTAAACATTTAAGAAAAACAAAAATTAAGAACAAAAAAAATATTTTAATGTCACGTGACTGTATCTCAGTAGTAATATATTTAAAATAAAAGTCAAAAAATTGTTTGTTGTACTTCATAACAATGCTGACAGTTACTGCATGGTTACATTTATTAAGAAAATATCCTGTAATCTTCTTGTTAGAAAAAGATATATTGATAATATTATCTTAAATTCTCCAACCATTCAAACAAGTCGTAGCAAAGCATACTTTTTTTATTGATCTTTTTTATCACTTACCCTACCTAGTAAACTAATGACATGTTTTTGATGTCCAAAATAAATAAACATATAAACTTGAGTTTTTTTTATGATAGTCTTCTGTTTACTTATTATTTACTTAAAAATGAAAGATTAAATTAAATGTAAAAACTGGGGGTATTCAGATTTTATTTTAATCTGTGCTTTGATCTGAATGTCAATTACTTCTTTTTTTTTTGAAAAGTTTAATTAAAGAAAGTTCAAACCAAAGAAACCGGCTTAAAACTTAGTCTAACCATTAGTGAAAGATAAAACAAGAACTTAAATTTAAATTAGAAAAAACTACAATCAAACTAGAGTTTGTAGTCCTTTATTAACTATATAACTATTAACTATTGCCATTTGCCAAACTCGTTCAAATTTTTTTTTTGTTTTGTTACTGATTTGTCATAAAATAGTCATTAAGTGCACAATGAAATGTATACTGAGAAACTCGTTCAAATTTTTTTTGTTTTGTTAATGACTATGTTGAGATTTTTGCTAATGAGTATATTGAAATTTTTGTTGATGAGTATGTTGAAAACGTTAAATTGAAAACGTGATTAATAAAAAGCACACTACTTTTTAAAAAGACTTTTTAAAAAGAAATTATTTACATCAAGATTTTTAAATAAAAGTTTGCTCCTTTATTAACCTTGCATGAAATCTTGCATAGAAGACTAAAGACTATAAACTTGGAAATGAAAATAAAAGAAAAGAAAATAAACTTGGAAAGAAAATAAACTTGGAAATGGTACAAGGCAAACAGATTTTATTGTAATTTTAACAAATGTTAATTAAATAACTTTGATATTCTTTTAGATTTTTTCAATATTATATTATCTAAAATAGTTAATATAAATTGAAATAGTTAATATAACATAAAATAGTTTTGTTTGTATTGCCATCATGTTTCTTTTTCAACATATTTTCTTTTTTACCATGTTTTCTGTTCTTTGTATTTTTAAAATATATTTCATGTTTTTTAAGAATTATTTTTATTATAATTTTTAGAATTTCTTTTTGCCTTGTTTATGATTTTCTTTTTCACAGTTGCTAAATCAAATTGATCGAACAGGCCCAGCACCAGCTGATAAAACCAAAATTGATTCAATACCTGTAAATATTATCACACAAACTGATGTTGGTAAGTTTCTTTTTTAAGTAATTTATATAACTTTTTGTTTAGCATTGCTAATATAAGGAAATCAATAGTTTTAAAAGCCTAACAGTTATTCAGTCATACTTTTTCATATATTTTTTTAGTATATTAGATGCAATGACAAATACAAAATATTTTGTTTGAAATATTTTGTTCTAAATATTTGTTTTTCACTCATGGCTTTGAAAATTAGAAGAATTTTTTGTCAATTTTTTTACTTTGCTTTTTTTATCTCATTATAAAGCAATAACCAGAATATTATGTCTATTGTCTAGAAAACATAGTCTAAAAGTATGAAAATTGAAAAAAAGTATATAACTTTGCTGAGTGGCCGTAACTATTAAAGCCACGTGACCACATGAATTCATTATATAACATATATTAGCTGAGGGGCTAATCTTCCATTAAAAAAATAAAATTGCCCATGTTTGTATTTATAAATTTTTAATGGACTTCCATTCATTGGCATTTTAAAAAAAGCAGTGAAAAACATGCTTTTGAAAAAACTGTTCCAACTTTAGACCATTATAAATATTGAAGCAATTTTTAAAAATGTCAACTGGAAATATAAAAGTACAATGAAAGTACTTGAAATTATTTAAGTACAATCTTAACTCTCTAGAAAAATCAATTCGAACAATTAACAAAATATCAAAAAAATACCAGTTTTCATGCATTTTGTAAGGATACAGATACACTAAAGGATATCATATTTTAAATGTTTTTGCTTTCAAAAAAGTGTACTATATTTCCTATGAACCCTAATTTAATATCTAAATATTGATTGAACTCTAAAATTATCTGATATTTTGTTTCCATCTGATTGATACTGAGGAAATTACTTAATAAGTTATTAGATTTTTTTTCATTGCCTTTAAAACTTCCTTGTTATATTGTTATTGAAGAAATTAGTTAAAAATGAATTGCTAATTACACAATAAAAGTCCAGTATGATTTCAAATAAAATGATATCAATCAAGCCACCACAATAAAAATGCTAAGCAGGGCTAAACGATGTTACATCTGACATAAATGGTTTCGATAAAATGTTGTATATAACAAAGCGCATGTCATGTGACAAAGAGTTATCAGATTCTCTGGATCATAGGAAATGTTCCTTGAAAGCACACTATTCATTGTGCTGATCCTTATTTAAAAGTTAATTCACATTCAAAATCATTTGCATAGTTTTGCAAATATAGGTGACTATTATGAATATGTTATGAATGTATTAGCTGATTGTTTGGACTAAGTTAAGTCTATCCAAATAGTTCTAGATGCAGTAAATTTTGGAGATGATAAAGATATGTTCCACAACACATTAATCGAAATAAGTAATTTTTTAAATTATAGACCTTATTTGAGATGCACAGCATCTTTGTCATTTTTTTCAGGTCAGGAGTATGGTCTTCATGATCATCCTGCTACTGGTAACATGTAACCCAGTGCAACCTGTTCCATGTTCTGCTGCCTTGCAGGATTTGTTTTCTAAACAAAGGCTGGAAGGAGTGTGTTTCCTGTCATCAGTACTATCTTATATCAGTCATGCCTATAGTAATATATTTTTTTTATATATATAGTTGGAGGTGCCTTTGTTACTGTATTAGCTCACCTGTAATCTACTTTATATGTATGTTTGTGTTCTGTCTGAACCTCTAGCGCGGTGTTCTCTCGCCAGTAAGTTACTTTATGTTTTTTATGTATGTTTGTGTTCTGTTTGAACCTCTGGCGCAGTGTTGACTCACCTGTAAGTTGATTTATGTTTGTTTGTGTTCTGTTTATTCTCTAATGCAGCGTGAGCTCATTAACTAGCTACTTATTCCAACTACAAAACCTACACTCACCTTAGACTCCTGTATTTTGTTAGATGCAGCGTTTTTCCTAATGCACTTCCAAAATGTCATGCCTGGTTTTCTCAAAGTACTGTTGCGGGAAGTAACTCCTTTTAACTACTCCAGGTCAGGTCAGGATAATCAAGATCAATCTTGCTACTGGTCAACCCTTGCTGCCTTGCAGAGTGTGCTCTTCTTAGGCAAAGGCTAGGAAAAATAAACTCTGACTAAAAATTCCCCTGCTTTGGGGCTCTTGGTTGAGTAAAGGCTAGAGATGATGTCTCAATAAAAACACTCATCTTGGGCAGATGTTAACTGCATCAAGCTAAACATCTAAAGAACAACTCTCTTTAGAACAAACGTCTATTTATTATTGCAAGAAATCGATGTAAAAAGGTGCTTTGTGATGCTAAACTCCATTATTCTCAGTTTACTAAATCTCGCATCTTATCACAGAAGTTAGGCTCTAAAGACTTTTGGAAAATCTTCAACAGCATTATTAACAAGGGTAGATCTAACATTCCATCTCTCATTCATGGGACTGATCTTATTACCTCTCCTAAGGATAAGGCAGAACTATTTGCAAATAAATTTTCTTCTAATTCCACTCTTGAATCTTATAGACATTTTCTTCCTTCCATTCCAGTCAAACAGCTTTTGCTGCTAAAGTCATATCTCAATTAAACTCTACAGCTTGTGGTCAAGACAACATTCCTATCACAGTCTTGCAGAATTGTTTTCCAGAACTTTCTTCAATTCTCTCTAAACTATTTAACAAGTGTTTGACTGAGTCTTGTTTTCCTGCTTGTTGGAAAATGGCATCTGTGGTTCCAATATTCAAAAACTCTGGAGAGAATTCTGACCCCTCCAATTATCGTCCGATCAGTCTTCTTTCTGTTATTAGCAAGGTCTTTGAGTCTTTGATCAACAAATTCCTCACATCTCATCTTGAGTCAAATAAACTGCTGTCAGACAATCAATACGGTTTTCGATCCTCTCGCTCTACGACCGACTTGCTAACTGCTGTAACTGAAAGATTTTATCGTGCATTAGATGGAGGCGGTGAGGCTAGGGCTATTGCTCTCGATATATCTAAAGCTTTCGACAAAGTTTGGCATGCTGGTCTTTTCCATAAGTTTGCTTCATATGGTGTTTCTGGGAAAGTTTTTGAGATTATCAAATCATTTCTTTCTAACCAGTTGATTAAAGTCATCCTTGAAGGCCAACACTCTTCTTTATTTCCAGTAAATTCTGGGGTTCCCTAAGGTTCCATCCTGGGCCCTGTTTTGTTTCTTATCTACATAAATGATCTTCCTGACAACCTTTCATCTAAAGTAGCTATTTTTGCTGATGACTCAACTTTATACTCCTGTCTTGACAAAAAGTCTTCTCTTTTTGATTGCCTAGAACAAGCAGCTGATCTTGAATTTGATCTCACTTCAATAATAGATTGGGGTTTACAGTGGCTTGTGAATTTCAACTCTAACAAAATTCAGTTGTTTACTGCAAACAACTACCGTAATATGGTCAACATTCCTATATTAATGAATGGCAATCCTCTTACTGAATCCTCCTCTTTACCTCTTCTTGGATTATTGCTTACTACTGACCTTTCATGGAAACCATATATACAATCGATTGCTAAATTAGCTTCTGCTAAGGTTGCTTCTCTTTATTGTGCTTGCCATTTCCTTACTTCTGATTCTACCTCTACAAATCTCTTATTCATCCCTGTATGGAGTACTGTTGTCATATTTGGGCTGGTTCTTCTAATGATTCACTTTCTCTTCTTGAAAAGGTCCAAAAAGGCATTGTAAATGTTGTTGGACCTGGACTATCTGCTAAGCTTGAGCCTCTTTCCCATCGTCGTAAAGTTGCATCTCGCTCTCTTTTCTACAAATACTATCATGGTCACTGCTCAAAGGAGTTATCATTTCTAGTTCCATCAACTAAAATTTATTCTTGTTTTACTTGTCATTCAGCTAAGTCTCATTCGTTTATTGTATCTGTCCCTGCATGCTCTAAAAACTTTTATTCGTCTAGTTTTTTTCCCCGCACTTCAATCCTTTGGAACTCTCTCCCATCTTCATGTTTTCCTGACTCATACAACCTTCAATTTTTCAAGTCTTCTGTCAACCGTTTCCTTGCTCTATAACTCAGTCCTTTTTTTTCCTAGTAACTCCTAACTTATTAGTGGTTGCTTGCAGCCTTGTTGGGAGTAAATGCAAATAAATAAAAATAAAAAAAAAACACCAGAAAAAAAGTAAAAGTAAATGTTCGGCAAATCTGGATAAATAAAATTTAAATATGTTTTTGCTTAAAAGATTTTAGCCAAAGAATAATACTGGTTACATTCATATAAAGTCACTTTCTAAAGAGTGGCATAGGTATGCACATTTATGTCTTCTTTATTAAAAAGAGATGTTACCAAACAGATCTTTCTTACAGTAATTTTTTTACTTTTTATTTACAGTAATTTATTGATGTGATCGTGAGATGGTTTTGTATAACTGGACATGCTCTAAAAGAATTCAAGAATAAATTTTGTGAAAAAAAGTCCAAAAGACTTAGTGAAAACCTTTGTTATTATCAGACTGCTTTCAAACTTTGTGAAAAATTTTTATTACTGCATTGAGTTTATTGGCAGCAAAAAACATCATAAACAGTATTATTTATGTAGCTAAGGCCTTGACTACAGCAGAAGGCGTTTATTCAGCTTTACACTATGTAAACAGTCTTCCTAACTCAAAAGTGTCAATATTACAAATTAGTGGTGATAAAACATTGTCATATTGGAAAAGGTTTTGATCAATCAGATAGTGGTATTAGGTTTGTATCTGACGATCAAATCATTCTTCCATATAGTCTTACAGATAAACTTCTAATAAACAAGAAAAATCACTAAAGTCGACCAATAAATATTTAAAGTATTTTGTATCTGTAATTGCTTTTTTTATATAAAGCAAATATGTGAAAAAGAACAGTGACATTCATTTTTTTCTTTCTTTAAAATTGTCTCAAAATTTCTTACAGACAATTGTACTTAAATTGGTTGCTTGCAGTCTTGTTGGGAGTAAGTTAGATGTAAAAAAAAAAGTAAAAAAAAAATAAATTCTACCATTTCTTCTAATATTTTCCTTAAACAATTATTCTTAAAATTGTTAAAGGTAATTAGGTTTTTTATTTTTTATTAAAGTTTTTCACTATAGAAATCTTAAATTATAAAAATGAAGCTAAAAAAGTTTAATTATGAAATAAAAAATACAAAAATGGAATACAGAAAAGTATAATATCAAATATAGAACTTAATTACGGCAGCATTCAACAAAAATTAGGGAATGACAAAGGTATGCGAAAGCTTGTTTAACAAAATTTATTTTATTAAACAAGCTTAGATTTTATATTCTCAATAATTAGCAAACATATATGTTTATATCCATAATATGCATGCATAAAGTGCATCTAAGAAGTTTTTATTCTTTCTATAATAAAATTTTGGAAACTTTTATTATAATTCCTCAATTTTAAAACAAGCCCCATTCTACTCCACATTTTTCACCATCTTGAATAGTCTCTCATAAGAACACGTGTCCTTTTATTATTCCAAGAAACCAATAAAAAAATTTCCTGGTTCTCAGTTTACTGTTAGGTTCTAGAGACTTTTTGGTCTTCAACAGTGTTATTAACTAAAATAAGTCAAACATTTAATATATAATTCATGGGTCTAATCTTTTTACTTCTCCCAGAATATAGCAGAGTTATTTTCAAAATAATCTTACTCTAATTTGACTCCTGAATATAATGATCATACTCTTCTTGGCAGTTAAACAGATTAACCCATTGTTAAACATCCAAATCACTTTAGCTTTCAATGCTAATTCTGGTAATTCTCAATTGAACACTTCTACAGTGCACCAGGTAATACCAGGGTGCCTTTTAATAGTTTTACTCCAGCATTTGATAAAACGAAGCCTTCTAAACTTTCAGCGACACATGTTAATGGATCATTCACAAGCTTTTTTTCAATTTCATAATCCATACTATCATATTGCATTATTGAGAATGAACTTACTGCAATTGTATATTGATTTCTTAAGACAAAATAAAAATATTCATAAATCTATTTTTTATGAAAATATTTTCCTTTATAATATAATTTCAGTTTTACACATTTTATTATTTCATTGATATAAACATAGTGTAAATATTCTTCATATGTAATAATATTTGTAATATTATATAATATTGATTTCATTGAATTTTAAAATAACTTCATCTAAGTGAAACATTTATTTCATGACAAAAATGGTTTCATGGCATGAAAACAAATTAAAGAAAACAAATAAGATAAAGAAACCGTAAAATTCCAAAAAAAATAAAAAATTAAAAGTTTTTTTTTTAATATAAAATTTATATATTATATATATTTTTATATATTTAAATTTTGATCATATTCTTAAATTTTGATCATAGTCTTAAAAAAGTGTTCTCCAGAACTCACTTCAATTTTTGCTAAACTTTTAAAAACTGCTAAATAAATGGTTCCGATTTTTCAAAACTCTAGAAAACACTTTGACCTCTCTATTTATTTTACAATTAGTCTTCACTCTGTTATTAGTTTCTTTAAATAAAGGTTTAGAGGTTATTAAATTATTTCTTTCTAACTGTGATATTAAAATTATTCTTGAAAGTCTACTCTCTTCTTTATTTCATATAACTTTAAGGGTACCACAAGGCTTTATCTTTGTTCCTGTATTGTTTCTTATCTACAACAACAATCTTCATGAAATCTATTTGCTGACGACTCAACTTTATACTCTTGTCTTGACAAAAAATCTTCACTATTTAATTGCTTAAAACAAGCAGCCAATTGGAAATTTGATCTCTCTACTGTAACAGCCTAAGGCTTGAAGTGGCTTATGGATTTAAATTCTGGACTTAAAATCCACCAATTTTTTTAGGCAACAAAACTCATTTACTGCAAAATATTGCAATATTGTTGGCATTTTTATATTGGCAAATAACAACCCTCTTACTCTCAGATAAAGTAAATGTAATTAAACCTGCTTTATCTGCCAAGCTTGAGCCACTCTCCCATTGTTGTAAGGTTGCATTTCTTTCTTTTTTCTACAAGTATAATCAATGCTGAAACAAGCTATCATCTCTATAATCATAAACCAAAACTCATTCTTTTATGGCTTTTTATTCAACAAGTTGCATCCTTTTACTGTATCTGTTACTTCGTGCTGTAAATACTTTTATTAATCCAGTTTTTTTCCTTGAACATCAAAAAAACCTTATAACTCTTACCAATCTTCATGTTTTTTCTTTTTTATACAACTTACAACTTTTTAAGTCTTCAGTTATACATTTCCTAGTATTTTAATTTATTCTCTATTTTATAACTTAATAGTGGTTGCTTGCAATCTTATTACAAGTAAATTAGACTTTAAAAATAAATAAATGTATGTCCTATCATTAGCCTCAATCAGTCATTGCCATCAGTACGTCACTAATATTTTTGAAATATAATGGTTTCTGAAAAGTTTTTCAATATATTTGAAGAGAGGTTGGAATCAGCATGTAAACAACATGTAGATTATCCTATGTGCAGTATGGTTAGAATGAGCTTTTTAAATTCAACAATAAGACTAAGACCTGATGAATTTCAATATATTAACCAATATATATATAAAGAAATCTTTATTTTTAAAAGTTTTTACTAAATTTTAATATTTATTGACCACTCCAGTTCTTAATTTGTTAGGTTTTAGCTCATTCAAGCACTATTGTTTTCAATGCCAAAAAAAAGTTATCAATTACATATACACATATAAATAATAAATAATTTTTAAATTAAAAAACATTCTGTTAATAATATATAAATATTAATTTTGTTAATAATATATGAGTATTATAACTTATCATTAATATTAACTTTTTTAATGTTTATTTTATTAATATTACTTTTTTTTTTGTTAGTTTTTGTTAATTATTATTTTTAAACATTGTATGATGTTTATTATTAATATTATTGTGAATATTACTTTTTTAAATTATATTTTGTTGCTTTAGATGAAAATTTGGAGTGTGCAGTATGTAAAGATGAATATAATGTTGGAGATACTGTTAAAAAATTACCTTGCTGTCATGTTTTTCATTCACAGTGTGTTGATCCATGGCTAGAAATGGTAGATATATATATATATATATATATATATATAAAACTATGAATGCATGTTTAGATAATGTCTCTGATGTCACACTGAAATAGCCTGCTGTTTGGGGCTTCAGTACATACATCGACTATCTTATAGTATGCTGTCGCAAGGGAGTGCTGCTGCATTGACTGAGGGTTTTGAGGGTCCTTATATCTTTTGCACATTTAAAGTTTTAAAATGTAGACTTGAATTCAGGCAGTTTTTTCAATGAAAAAGAAAATTACAAATAGTAATAAAGAAAATAAAGTAGTTTCTCCTCATTGAAAGTAATCTATACAATAAAATAAAAATTATCTTTAAGGGTAGCCCAAGATCTTTAAACCTCAGATGGGTACCAAATATTATCAAAAAAAGGTTTTCTTTAAAACTGTCAACTTGGATCTCAAAAGAAGCAAAATTTATAGAAATTTAAAAAATAATAACTATTTTATATAAATATTTTAGATTTTATTGCATAAAAAGTATAGTTTTTTATCATTATATAAATTATTAGTTTTATAATATTTTTACATAATTTTTTTTTTATTAAACTTATTTTAGAAATGTTTTTTTTAAATATAATTTTCATTTCAAAAATTTTAATAAAGTTTTGATATTATTTTAATTATTAGTATTAAGAATAGTTATTAAGAATTTTATTTCTTTAATTGTTTTTAAAATTATTTAAATTGACTTCTTATTTGTTTAAGCATGATTCTTGTCCTATTTGTCGGTGTAATCTGGATGGTCAACGACCGAAAGCGGAAGGATAATGGATGTTAAAAATTTTCACATTAAATATTATCGTTATTGATAATTTCAATTGATCATAACATGGCAATGAAAAGCACTGATCAAAATCATTAAAGAAACTTTTTTAAGCAGAGGGAATTTAGGTTGAAGTGAAAGTACAATGACTTTTTAGATTCGTGTTTATTTTTTATTGCTACAAAATAGAAATTTATTTTTATGCCAGTTTCAGCGCCAGGTTACAATTTTTAATGCAATTCAAAATCAGTTTTGAAAAATCTTATGAAGCTTTTCTTTTTCTAATAATTTTCTTAAACTTCATTTAAATGTACTATTTTTTTGTGGTTTTTTTTTTTTTGTATTATATAATTTTTGCTTGGACAAATTTTAATTTGCTGTATTTTTAGTGACCTCGGCAATCTTATATAAGGCAAAAAATATTTATAATGCAAACTTTATATAAAAATGTTTTATTAATTAATTTGCAATGTTGTCATTTAATTAAAACATTTCAGACATTTTTTATTCAATTAAAACATTTCAAAAATTTTTTTTTAAACTTTATTAAGCTGATCCTTTTATTTTTATATTTATTAAAAAAATTATTTAGTTAGTACTTTGATACCTTTAAGTAAAATAAAAATACCAATAAAGAACTGTTTCTAGTAAGCTGGTAAAATTAAAATAACAAAATAAAAATAACAAAAATAGAGTAAGTAGGTAATAACTAAATATTAATAAAATAATAAATAAATATTAATAAAATAATAAATAAATATTAATAGATAATAAATGTGAATAAAAATTTTAATTTATATATTTGTTTTTTATGTTTGTAATCTTAATATGTTTGCAGTTATTTAAAATTTTAAATAACTAATAAAATCAAACCTATGTATAATAGAACATTTAAGTTAAACCTTTAACTTTAATTTTTACAAAAGATCTTATAGAATTAGATAGTATATGAGTTTTGGGAAATTTTGAGGTTGTTGTGTGTAAAGTTTATTACAATGGTTCTTTTATATTAAGTTATCTCATAGAGAGATTTATATTTAGTGAAGCAATCTACTAATCTAATTAATCATTTAAAAATACAATCTAATTAATCATCTTAAAAACTTATGCAATGTGAATATTATTAATGCATCTTGATTTTTAGAGATAAAAAACAATGGTTGCAGTTCAGTTTGAAGACATTATTGGACCATGCATAATAACAGCAGTTAGTAGTTTACAAATGGGTAAGTACTATGCTGTATAATTTAAGTTTTTTATTTAAGTATAAATTTATAACAATATTTTTTAAAATTTACCCAACGTTTTTTGATTACTTTAAACTCTTCCTCAAGGCTATATTTTTAAAAAAAAGTAAATTTTTGGTCAAAAATTGTAGTTTTCCATGATGTTGAGGGAGAATTAAATGTAAATCTCTAATGCTAAAATTCTAAAAAAATTAGCCTAAACTACATATACTTTGCATTTAAAACCATTCGTATTTTTATATTGGCCTTATTACTGAGTATTTTTCATTCAACACCTCAATAAAGTCACAAAATTTGTGCGTTTTGTAGTTATATTGAAAAATCTTTTGAAATATATATTTATTTGAGATTTATCTTGGTAAAAATATTTTATGATCAAAAGTTTGGTGACTTGCTTGTTACTTTAACTAATTATGTACTTGACAGTGATGTTCGGATATTTAACCTACCCCTCACACACATACTTATGCCATGCCTTTTTTTTGAAAATTGATTAAGATGTTTAAAGTTGTTCTTGTAAATTGAAATCAAAACTGTGTTTTATAGTTGTCGTATGGCAACAAAAGGAAGTAAAAATTTTCTAGTCATTTATGCTTTTCTTTAATGTTTTGTAAACCAATGCTCCTATTTGTCATCTTTCCTGAGCTTTTTCCAGGTTCTTCCATGGAGGAACCAACTTTATCTATTTTTATTTAAGTTAAATCTGTTTTTCTTCTTCGTTAATGTATCTAAGGATAAACTCCTGCATTATATCCACATTTCTTTTTTTTCTTTCTGTGTGATTGTTTACAACAACCAAAGTTTTTTGGTAAGTTAAAAACTATTTGTAATATGACTGAGTGTGTCAATAGTATGTAGGAAGCGATAATCAATTGCAAATTATCTCTTTTGTGAAGCAAACAAAACTTTTAAAAAAAAAAGAATAAAGTTTGTAAGTTTAAAAAAAATAACAAGAGAAAGTTTAAAGGGAATCAATACACAAACAAAAGCAATTTGTTTCCATGCAATCACAACTGTTAGATGTTGTTTCAAATTTATCATAATTACTAAAAACAGATGATTTACTTAGCTGTCATGCCATGCTGTTTGTCAGATTTTAAATGATTTTCAATGCTAGGAATCCAATTTCAGACATGTTTAATTTATCAAACCTAATTTCATTTCAAATTGTCCTCAATTAAACAAAGTTCATGAGCTAAGTGAAAGTTTAAAATATGGTTTAAGAAGTAAAATGAAAGTAAAATGTTCTTGCTAATGGGAGCATTTGTCTTGGATATCTAAAAACTGCTTTTTATGTTACAAGGGTTTGGTATAAATTACGGAATGGTATACTCAATGATGCATAAAACACATAAGTGTAGTCCAGACTTATGCATTTGCCACTATTTACATCAAAACAAGATTTTTTGTATGATAAAAAAGAGCGTTAAGTTAAGTCCTTACCCAAACTATAAATGGGGCTCTTCAAGAATTAAAAGAGTTATCTGAAAATCCTTTGTTATGTGATGGTACCTGTGTCATTTGATGGCCCTTGTGTCGTGTGATGGCACCTGGCAAAAATGATTTCTAATGCTAAATTGTACAGCTAGTGGCATTTCTATGGACACAGGCAAAGCATTGGATGTCCAATGAGTCATCTGATGGCATCCAATGAGTCAATATTTCATTTTTTCCAAGTTTAATAGAATTTGGAAGTGTGATAATTCTGGAACTATTGCAGCTTTTTAGCTAAAGTTTTTACACAACATCCAAAATTTGTTTCATGAAATATACTAAAAGTTTGATTTAAATTTTTTTATTGTCGATTATTAGCTTGTCTAAAATTCAATTTTAAATTAGAAATATAGAGAAAAAGAAGTTGGTCTTTTTATTAACTCAAGCATACATCCTAAAACAATATTTGGATTTTTTTTTTTATTATTTCATAGCTTTACTGAATATATTACTAATTTTTTATATATACTGATCTTTAAGAACATTAAGCACTCTTTTTGTAGAATATAAACATATTTGACATATGTGTGTATTAATTATGCAATGAATCTGGTTTTGATGAATACTGAATCCAAACATTCAGCCATAATATTTTGCAAAATACTGAATGGTTTGACGACTGAACTAATTTTGAATAGAAACATTAGTTTTTGAACTCGTATTGAAAACTATATTTAACATGTTTTTTATAAAAGAGCTATATAAATTTTGATTTAAGTATTTGGAAAAAATGTTGTAATGTCTATTTGTTTTAGTTTAGTTAATTGATAATTTTATTGTACAAAAAATTTATATTGTTAAAGGCTTCATGAGAAGGTTATTACGATCTTCTTGAAGTCCTGTCTATATTATATCATAAATCTTATTGTAAATAATGTTATGCAGCAAATAAAATAAATAAATAATAATAATAATAAATTGTTTGTGGTTTAAAAAAGCAAAAATGTTAAGGAGTTTTTTTTTGAAAAAATGAAAAGATATTTTTCAATGAGTAAAACATACAGTTTTTACTTATACTATATTATTATTAACTTTAATATTTGTAGTTTATACTTTAATTTACAAATATAAAATTTCGGAAACAAAAGTAAGGTTGTTAACATTGAAAAAGATATAAAAACATAATATTTAAGTTACATATGTTATATAATATAACATCTTTGCTATGTTTACACAATTTATATTTAGACAAGTTATGTTTAAAATGCCATGTTATGTTTAAATTTTTGCTTAAGTTTTTTAATTTGTTTTTTAATTTAATTTTAATCTGTATTAATTTTTTTAATATTGTATAAGTATAAAACAATTTCTTCAAAAAAATGTCTCTATAAAGATTTCTTCAAAAAAAGTAGTATATTTAGCAACATTTATGAATCTAATGGACTACCACCAGAAAGTGGTGATATAATGTTTATAATTATAACTTGAGAACAACTAAAAGATAATTAAATTTCACTTATGTTTTTGATATTTTTTTTCTTCCTAAAACAATCATTTACTTTTTTACTTAAAACAATTCTCCTAAAACAATTATTTACAACAATTACTTATGTGAAAGAAATATAAATAAATAAAAAATAAAATATTGATTTGTTTATTGTTATTTTTGTTGCACTATGATTATATAAGATAACTTCATAATAAATTGAAGCATTATTTTGGAACTCTATAATAAGTTATCATAGAGTTCCCTATAGAGAGATATAATAAATCATGAACATAAACAGAGAAACTTTTTCTGTAGATAAATTTATTTTCTTTACCTCAGCAACAATGGACTCTCTCTTTAAAAAGACTTAAGGTCAATAAAATATATTTTTTATTAAAATTTGTATTTGATAAAAGTTTAATAAATGGCGAAATGGTAATTACTATTAAATTATATATTAAAGTTTAACTTGTTGTATCAGCTGCAGTGCAAATGATTTAAATTTGAAATATATTTATGAAAATGTATAATATTTTCCAAAATTTGCATTTTTTTATGCACATTCGGCCGAACAGTTGCCAAAGTTCAGCCAATCAAACATTTGTCAAAACAGCTAAAGGTTTGGCACATCCCTAATATGTATATGTGTATATATATATTTTAGCATCATTTGCTCGTCGTGTGGGAAAAGCAAGGCAAAAGTATAAGGTGTATGATCCTATTACTTATTTTGCATTTATTCTGCTTAATTATTTTGTTTAAAGAGTTAAAATTTTATGTTTATACTTTTCCTGTCTTTAGGTCCCACCTCCAGAAACAAATGGTGATGAGGGTTTTGTAAGAATATTTAGAGCTCAGTGAGTTTTTTATTTAAAACAAGTATAAATACAAAGTGTAAATTTGTTAATGAACTAGATTCCCAGTATAAAAAGAATCCTTTTTCACAGTATTTGTGGTCAGGTTTTCTATGATCAAAGTACATAAGTATTAAAGAAATCTTAAATTATCTTTTTTGAAGTTTATTTACCTTACACCTATAACTTTTAATCTTATCAGTGACATGTAATGGGTGACAACTAAAAAACGAAGCTTGATTTAAAGACACATATCTTCTTAAAGGAATAAGATTTATGAAATAGGAAAACTGTTTTAGAAGATATTTTTATTCTAGTTTTTAATCATTTTGTGTTTTTATTTTTATAGAAAAATGAATAAAAAAATAAATTCAAGAAGAGATTAGAAAACGTGTGTATTAATTTTATTTAAATTACAAAAATGCTGTTAAAAAGTTCATTTATGACCACTTTAAAGTTGAGAATAAACCTAAAAGTACTATCTGCAAGATAATTAAACGTGCTGAAAGTGAATCTGGGTAACAAAGACTTCAAGGAAGTGGAGTAAAAGCTAAAAAAAATACCAGGACAAACATTGAAAGACTCAAACTCATGTTTGAATATAAAGACGGAGTTTCTCAACGACAGGCAGCTAAAAAGTTCAACTGTACTCAGCAACACATTAGTAAAACATTAAAAAAAAGATCTATTAAATCAAGAAAAAAATGACGATTCAAAAACGCTCTACCAACAAAAAGCAGTAGAAGTCGATTGTGTCAGAAATTCAAAAATCGTAAACCAATCATTAGCGATGAGTCTTATTTCACATTAAATCACTCCAGTATCAATGGAAATAATATATTTTATACTAGTGATGTAAAGTCTATTCCATCTACAGTTAAATACCAAACAAAACAAAAGTTTTAAAAGAAATTACTTCTATGGATTGCTTTTTCTAAAAACAGGATTTCTCAACCATATTTTGTTCCAAATGGACTAGCTGTAAATCAAAAAATCTATTTAAACAAATGTATTAAGAAGAGACTTATTCTGTTCATCAATAAGTATCATCAGATGGTGCATATGTATTCTGGCCAGATTTAGCATCATCTCACTATGCAAAAACAGTAATCTAAATGTATCTAAACAAGGAAAATGTGCATTATGTTGAGAAAGTGGATAACCTTGCAAACTTGCGAGAATGTCACCCTATCGAAAAATTTTTAGAGTATTTTAAAAGGCCTTGTCTACAAGAATAATTGGCATGCAGAAAATCTTAAAAAATTACGTTCTAGAATCAAGTATTGCCTTAACAAAATTAATATTGAGCTAATACGGAGAATAGCTTATTCTATACCAGGCCTAGTTGATAAAGTCAGAAGAAATGGTTTAATTGAGAACAGCTGATTATATATTTAAAAACTAGAATAAAATTACTTTCTAGAACATTTTTATTTTTTGTTTTATCTTATTTCTTTAAGGAGATATGTGTCTTCAAATCCAGACTCATTTTTTAGTTGTCACTCATTATATCAGTGGTGTACACTGGACTTTTAAATGTTTGAGTTTTGACACTTACACACATTTTGCAAACTACAAACTTGTGTATGTTCATGCTTATGTCAAATGACAATGTTTTGCAAAAAATTGTGGTGATTGGAGCTTGGGAACAAAAAAAAGCCAATTTTTGGGCCCACCCAGCCCTTAACATGGGAGCAACAAGTTGATAAAATAATTTTTTTAGTATTTTTATCTAAGTTTATAATCATCAACAAATTTCAAATTTCATCCAATAAGTTCTTATTTTTTGAAAATTATGACCATATAAAGTTTTAACCTCCCTCAATTTGAGGGGGCTGTAAACTTTGTAGGGTCATAAAAACTAAAAACTAAGAGTTTATTGCATGAAATTTGAAATTCGTTGATGAATATAAACTTAAATAAAAATACTAAAGAAATTATTTTATCTTTGCTGCTCCCACGTTAAGGGCTGGGTGGGCTCGAAAATTGGGGTGTTTTGTCCCCAAGCTCCAATCACCACAATTTTTTGCAAAACATTCTCATTTGACATAAGTATGAACATACAAAAGTTTGTAGTTTGCAAAATGTGTGTAAGTGTCAAAACTCCAACATCTAAAAATCCAGTGTACACCACTGTGTATATATATATATATATATATATATATATATATATATATATATATATATATATATATATATATATATATATATATATATATATATATATATATATATATATATATATATATATATATATATATATATATATATATACAGTGGTGTACACTGGATTTTTAGATGTTTGAGTTTTGTATATATATATATATATATATATATATATATATATATATATATGTGTGTGTGTGTGTATAAATGTATATATATATATATGTATATATGTATATATATATATATATATATATGTATATATATATATATATGTATATATATATATATATATATATATATATATATATATATATATATATATATATGTATATATATATATATATATATATGTATATATATATTTAGTCAAAACTCAGTGGAATTTTATCCAGTATTTTTAGCAAGCTTATGGAGCAGCTCTTTATTGTTTCACCAAGGTAAACTTAATTTAAAATTTAATTATAATTTTCTTTACATAAAAATGTTTTTTTTATGTAAAGAAAATTTTTTTTAAAAGTAGTTATGCTTTATATATTAATGTAAATTCTAAACACTCACTTAGTATTATTAAATTTATACTTTCCATGTCATCCAGTTGTATTATTTCAAAAAACATTTTTATAAGCTGAACCATTTCATAACAATGCTTTAGTAGTTAGTGGGTATAATGAAAAAATTACTTTCAAACAAAAATCTTGTCTCAAAAAAAGACTGGAATCAAGATTGCTGAAGGTTGAAAGAAAAAGGGTCGAACTTTTTGTTTAACTGCTTGCTCTTTTATTTAAAGCAAAAGAGGATTAAATTTTCTATGGTTAACCCTCTTTTTGCTTTAAATGTGAGAAAAAATGTTGTATGAAATTTCTTAAATTTTGTTTTAAAAAGGTTCTCCAAAAGCTCATAATTCTTCTATAGAAATAGCTTAAAGGTTTGTAATAGTATTTGGGGTCCTGGGGTCTCTTTTTTAGCCTGGAGTCTGGAATCTTGGGAGTCCAAGATCTTGGGACTCCTGTCCTCATTATTTTACTTTTGTTAGTTTTTAAAGTGCTCTGTAAAGAACAAGCAGTCCGTTTTTTTTTTTTTTTTTTTTTTTTTTTTTTTTTTTTTTTTTTTTTTTGAAAAATGCATAATGAAAAATTGCTGTAAAAACATAATGGTTTAGATAAGTGTGACTGTTTTTTTTTAATTAACTAATAATTAGTTATAACCACATTTACAAAACTTTTGATTTAACTAAACAAGTTAATAAAATTAAAATTTTAAGCTTGCGTTATAAAGTTAAATTAACAGGCTAGACCAGGGTTAAATAATGTGCAATGTAGTTGTAACAAAAAAAACAACATATAAAGCTTATAAAAATAGCTGAATAAGCAAACAAAAACTGTGTTGTTTAACACTTTTTTTTTAAGAAAGGACTTTTGATGAGTTTTTTTAACAAACAAGAGTGTTTGGCTAGTGTGGCGAGTAACATATCTTTAATGTGCATTGAACAGTTCTATATAAAGTTTCCAAATCATACCACTTAGCTATGGTTAATGCTCCATTTTGCATAATTTAAAGCTAGCCAGTTGATTTTAAGCACATATAGTAAATGTATCTGATTTTTGTAACCATGGTGTTGCTAGCCATAGTGTTGCTGCCTAATGTTGCTGCCTAATGTTGCTAACCATGGTGTTGCTGCTTGATGTTGTTAACCATAGTGTTGCTGAAATTTCATTAGAATTTCAACCATAGTGTTGCGTGGAATTTCATTTTCGAATTTGAGCTGCCACATTGTAGTTGTTGTTTTCTGTAATTGGTTTTAACAGGTAAATCAGGGTAACATCAGTAAAAGTAAATCAGGCCAACTACAGCAAAGGTGAATCAGGCCAACAACAGTAAAATCTGCTCCTGGGATAGCAATGTTTCAGCTTTTTCTCTCCTGGATTCTATGAGAATTTATAAATTAATTTTTTTTGTTTCAGTCAAGAAATAATTTGACTTAGAGAAAGGTACTCAGAATTATTAAAGCATCAACTATTATAATCTTTTTTTGTCATTTCAACAATTGCAACTTTGTTCAAGTTCACATCATAAATGCTCCAGAATTATGTCCTATATAGACTTTTCAAAAATTTAAAAATAACTTAAATATTAAAGACACTTATATAAGTTTTCTGGGTCATGCTTTAATTCGTTTTTATAAATAGGTGATTAGTTAAAAAAGAACAATCATTTCAAAAGGTTCAAAATAATTGGATCAAAAAAACAAAATAAAAATAATTTGATCATAAAACCATCTAAAGCATGTTTTAAAACGGATTAGTTTGATCAAAACCAGCTTTTAACTTATCTATATCTTTTATATGCTTATATACTTATCTATATGCTTATATACTAATCTATATCTATTAAATGCTTATATACTTATCTATATCTTTTATATGCTTATATTTTGACTTAACTTATACGTTCAAACATTTTCAATATTGTAACACTGATAATTATATTAGCGAATTTACTGCAGTCACGTTGCTTTTTACAATTGTATCACACTTCACATCAAGTCATTATTTGTTATCACATTGTCAATATCAAACAGTAGCTTTAACTATTTGGTTATTTTTGAAATTTAAGTTGTTATTTGTTCCTTTTCTTCTGTTCTAATTCTTTTCATTCATACACGCCATAAGATTTTACAATTAAAAAGTAGCAACAATAAATTTGTTTTTTTTAGTTCCTCCAACAGTTCTTGGTGTGGTATATATGTTGGCCCGGTCAAAGTATTTCAAAGGATATTCTGAAAGTGCAGATAAAAGGTAGTTTTTTAAAACTAAAAAGAAAATTTTTTAATTTTCAATATATTTATATGTTTTTGTATATATATATATATATATATATATATATATATATATATATATATATATATATATATATATATATATATATATATATATATATATATATATATATATACTTATATATATATATATATGCATATATATATATATGCATATATATATATATATATATATATATATATATATATATATATATATATATATATATATATATATATATATATATATATATATATATTATTAGTATATACATATATCCTAACACATAAGCAAAACTTTTCTACAAAAATTTGCTCAATCAAATGTGAAGAATAAAAATAGTTTCATTACGTGTAATAGATTCCCGCACACTTTCTAGATCTAATCTATATTTAAATATTGTTTAAAATGTAATTATAGTTTTTTATTTGATCTTTATTTGATGAAATAATATGAATAAAATTAATTTGGCGTAATAAGATTATTGTATTTTATATTTAAATAAATAAATTTAAGTTTTCAAATACAAAAATAGAACAGAATTATAATACAGTAAAATCATGTAAATTTTTTTATTTCACTTTTTTAATGTATTGTAAGTAGAATGTTTCTACCAAGGAGGTTTAATAAACAGGAGATGCCGTAGTATATACTTTATTTAAAACGCAATGAAGCCAGTTTTGAAAGTCAGCCGCTATCTTGAATAACCCAAAACATTGTTATGTTTTGCGCAAAATTTGATATTTTTAGTAGAAAACTTTGTTTAAATCAAGTCAAAATATTGATATAAATGATTGAATAATTTGGCAGTTTCCGAGGTTGTAATATACTACAAAGAATTGTTTGCTAACTGATTATCGGGTTCAGTTTATTTCAAAATATTGAAATACTGAGTAGACATTCAGATAGTAAACACGCTTTTAGAAGATGCCATGTTTTACACAGTGTGAACATCTTATGGAATAAAAATAAATGTTTGTGTTTTAAAACTTTAAATAAAAAACTTTTTATTTAAAGTTTTTTATTAAATAAAAAATATTAAATAAAAAGTAACTATTTTTTAGCAAGATATAGTACCTAAAGCCTCTGAAATATGTTTTTATGCTGTTATTATTACTAGTCTCTTAATACCTACTTATTTTATTTTTAACTTTTTGTTTTCATATTTTTATTGTTATTGTTAGTATTGATATTAATAATATTCTTCAATCATTATTATTAAATTGTTATTTTTATTTGTAACTTAATAAGTATTATTATTGCTTTTTTATTTTTTTCTTAAATTTATTATACTACTTATACTATATATTTATTATTATAATTATTATTGCTATTATCTAATATTTATTGTCTAATATTTTTATTTTTATTGTTAGTATTGTTACTAATAATATTCCTCTTCATCGTTATTTTATTATTATTGTTATTATTATTTTTATAGTTTATTATCATTACTGTTATTACTATTGTTATTATTAATACTATTATTATTTATATTATTCTTATTACTATTATTATTATTGTTATGATCACTTTTATTGTAATGTTGCAGGTTTTTACTTAAGTAATTGTACTATTTGTAAAAGTCCTTGAAATTTTACAACTTATTTCAGAATATATTGAATTGAATTATGTAAATACACACATATGTGTATATATATATAGTATATACACATATGTGTGTATTTACATAATTATATATATATATATATATATATATATATATATATATATATATATATATATATATATATATATATATATATATATATATATCATTTGATATAGTTATAATGAAACTAAAATAAACTAATAGTTATATGGAGATGCACATAGTTAAGCTTTTTCTGTGAACTTTTTGACCTGTAAAAGTTACAATATTTTTGTGCAACTGTCGACTCAGTATGATAATAATATAACATAAATATAAAATAACAGCTCTATATGATTTTGGCTAAATTAGAGATAATATATAAAATAAATATATCAAAAGTAAATAGTAAAACTAGATTTAGTACTTCTTCTTCTTCTTTGAACACAACTGTTGATTTATGAGGACCCATTACGTTTTCTCTACATAAAGTAGTTATCAACATTTGTCGAATCTTGATATTTATTTTTTGACAGAATTCTATAAAAATATTGACTAATTAAACAAAAAAATCACCATAATATTACCATATATGCTATTACTCTGGTGATTTCGTTACTTTATTAGTCGATATTTTATAGAGTATATTTTAATGATATATATCATTGCTTTGTGAAATTTGTTTAAATATAGATAAAAACTCACAAACATTTGGTTTTATTTTCTCAAGAATCTTTTATACTATCTGAAATATATTATCTTCTAGTTGAAGTACAGCTATCTGAATGTTTATTTCAGTATTCCGAATGTTATTAGAATAAATTGAAAAAGGCAATCAGTTAGCAAATAACTCTTTATAAGATAGTAAAAGCTGCCAAACATAAACTGACGAATAATTCATTCATTTGGTGCAATCTTTGGACTAGAATTTAATAAATTTTTTATTAAACTCCTAAGTTCCGCGAAATGTTATGGATTAACCAAGATGGCGGCCATTTTGAAAATTGGCTTCAAAAAATTCACGTGACACCGTCTTCTGTTTATTAAACATCCTTGGTTTCTACATTTTAAACAGATTTTTTACTTTAAATTTTAAAAAATTTTAAATGTAAATAAAATCAAAATTAGAATATAATAATTTTTTTTTACGCCTTCACTATCTTCCTGATATTTTTGTAAGAAAATTCTTTTTCAAATAGATTGTTTTTTAGTTTCTTTAAAAATTTCGCAAATTTGTAAACAATCTTAATCTTGTTATAAAACTATGAAAAATTATGTTGCATATCGCGATTTTTTTTAATATTTTTAGTTAAATTAAAAACCTTTTATTTTTTAAACCGCAAATCCTGTAGTTACTGTTTTTTTTTTTTACATTTTTTTTTGCAAATAAATATTTTAAATAGTATATTAAATTGCAAAAAATAAATGTATGTACTAATTTTTGCACTATATATACTAACTTAAAGGAATTTAGGCACTTTCCCTATTTATTTTGCATATTATAAGTTTTAAAATGTTGACCTTATTCGAATTTTCCATCATACTATTTTCTTCATCCATACGATGAAGAAAAAAAACAAAGAATAATACAAAAAAAATCGAACTCTTAGTATATGTGCCACAGATGGCTATTTCAGCATTGCATCATCGATAATTAATGCAAGGCAACGGTATACAAAAATATAAACAGAGCAGCCGTGGCGCAGTGGTTAGAGTTCTGGCTCAGAATCCAGAGGTCCGAGGTTTGACGCCAGCTCTAGCCCAACAAGGGACAATGGTACGGAAGGAGGCGTGAACTTCCTGTTAAATGCTCTCCCGCGGTACTCTATGATAAGACCGTAAGGACTTCTGGGAGCACCTAAATACATACAAAAAAAATTCAATTTATGTTATAAAATTGGTTCAACTAAATAGCATTGTATTCTGAATTGACTTTTTAAATTTTAATTTAGGCTGCCTGGATTTAGAGTATCAGTTACAGCTTTGGTGGGACTTAATATTTGTAGTTTATTGGGTACAGCGCATATTTTGTTTACAAAATATACTGGCAATAGTTTGTTTTCTTATTTTAACTAAAATATTTTTATGTAATGACTCATTTAAATAATGTAATTTTTTAGAATAATTTTTCGTGTTTTACATTTTTTTCTGTTACGAGGTTTTTAATCGTTCTAGACTCCTAAAATTTTTAATCTCCTCAATCTCCCAAAGTTTTTAAGCTTCTCAATCTACCAAAGTTTTTAAAGTCCCTATCATTTAAATATTATGTGTTTTATTTTGAAGCATTAACTCGTGAGTAAGCAGCATTCAATGTTTACACATTTAATTGCCTACACATTTGATGATTTTGTTATGATTTTTTTTTGAATAATATAACATCTAAGATATTACCAATACTCCAGCCCACTCTTAATTAAGTGTCAAATTCATGCTATATATTCTCTAATAAGATAGGATCATATGATTTTAATTTAGTCTTTTTATAAATGTTAAATCAAAAATCTAATGAGAAAGATAAAAGCATAGAAAAAAATTTAAGAAATAAAAAAAGACAAGTGAATTTTAAAGGTTTAATAGTGTTTTTAATTAAGTATTTAGAATAGTGTTTTATTTTTTATAAATAGTTTTTTTCTTGTTTCCGCAAAGATTAATGGATTAAATCATGTTACTATATGGTAGTCAGTTTTTTGTTTGATACAAATTATATGCAACAAATTGACTTTTTATAAGGAAAAAAAACGTTCTGGCTACTTTTGAAGTAAAAGATTTCAATTAGTTTTTACGCGTATAAACTGTATAGAGAATCGAAGCGCAGTGGTTAGCGCGCTTGTCTCAGAAGCTATAAATTCGTGGTTCAACTCTTTAAGATCTGGGCAAGTTTTATAATATCGGTAAAGAAGGCGTGAACTTCCCTTTAAATGCTCTTCTGTTGTGCTCTTTGATAAAACCGTATAGACTTCTTGGGGCACCTAAAATAATATTTTAGTCATAATCATAAATATATATTAGCCATACTTAACTTAAATGTTATGATTATGTTTTAACTTATTTCAAAAAAGTTATTTTACGATTTCCCGACTTCGCGAAACGGTCAGTCGCGTTTTCAACATTTACTGGAATTTCTCTGTGTGCGTTAAATAAAACCGAATAGCTTTTTTCTGTCATACGTGTTTTCACCCAGTCTCTTATTCTTTATAGGGTTGAGAAGCTAATTTCAGCACTGTAAATAATTACAGGACATGACTTAATAATTTGTGAGTTATTAGATATTGCAATTGCTCACACAAATCAAAAAGTCTTTTCTTTTAAAAAATCTATCTGTTATTTTTGATTTGAAAAGCAGGAAATTTTTTTTTTTTTTTTTGCTGTTTTAAAAATTTCCTTAAATATTTCTTCGCAGTCTTCTCTTTTGTTTTAAAAATATTACCATACTTTTAATGCAATTTTTTGCTTTATCTTAATGAATAAGAAATAGCAAAAAACTGCTTCCGAAAAAATGTTTAGATTAAGTAAATCTGAACATTTTTTTGGAAACAACTGACTGAGCTCACTTTCTTTCGATAATAATAAAATTCTTGCTTTTGATATTTTTCTGTCATTCCATTAAATCTAGTTATTCTTTGTTTGAATATCAGTCTTACCGGATAATACAAAAATATAAATTAAATTATGCGAAAATATAGATTATTTTATACAGGAATATAATCTGTTTTATGCGGAAATATAAAATAAGAAAATCAAAATTAGATTTTTTAAAGTTTTTTAAAATAGTTAAAATATAAGCTTGGTGGCAGCCATTTCAAACTCGAGGAATCAGTTTATCTAATAAATTACAAGATTTTTTTTTAATGTCTTGTTTTATTTTTATATAAAAAATATAATTAATAGAGAAAAAGTTATATTCAATTCATAAATAAGATGAAGATTATCAGCAAGCTATTAAACTTATTAAATAACTCATTCCTTTCCTTATTAAATAAACTCATTCCGCTCAAAATCAGCTAACTATTTAACTTATTAAATGAAGTCATTTCTTCCCAACACAATTGACGAAAAGTGCTATCATAATAACTAATACAATGTTATATATCTTAATAATTAAAACAAAACACAATGCTCTATATTATAATTAATTCTAATATTTAAAATTCCTATGCCAGCCGTTTATTAAATCTCGAACTCTGTTTTTTATTTCTTCACGATTTTGAGGTAATGGATGAGTATTTTTATAGCTGCTTTTTAAGACACTGAAAAATTCTTCAATAGGATTAAGTTGAGGGGAATAAGGTGGGAGATATTTATATAATATGTTGTTCTCTTTTAATATTTTTAAAACATCAGATCGATGATGAAACCAACAATTATTTATTAAAATACAGTCTCGATTTTGAATAAAATATGGCAACTGTGCTCTGTTTATGAAATCAATTAAACGATCACCATAATAAGCACCATCTGTTAACTCGTATCCAATTATCCCAGTAATTGAAATGGCTACCATTAAGCTTATATTTTGTCCTTTGTTGGCTAGAACCTTTAGATATGCTTTCATGTTTATTGGAGCATATCCGTAATTAGATGAGGTGTAGAGGTTGAACTCTGTTTCATCCAAAAAAAAAACTAGTTTTGATGTAGATTTAAGTTGAATCTCTTTTGTATAACTCTGTCTGAATAAATCAAAAGTTTTTATTTTGTTTCTTTCTTGTGGAACCAGTGATAAACGCTTTCTTGTTATTTGCATTACTTTAAGTTGCCTAGAAACAAACGTGTGAGATTATCACAGATTCCAGCTTGTGTTAGTGAGTTATTTCTGTTTATCACAGTGCTGATTGCATTTCTTATAGCAGATTTGTCAGAACACTTTCTTCCTTTTCTATTTATAAGTTTAGAATCTGGTATATTGGCGAGGATTTTGTTTGCGTTTTTTAAAACACATCTATCCAACAATTGCAGAGTTTGGCTTATTTCTTTAACTTCTTTTCCTCGATCAAGTAAGTCACGTATCATTTTCAATAAATCAGATGTTAAAGTAGGGTAAATTAATCGAACCTCACCCACATCCGCACTGAAATTGATGTTGACAGGCTATTATTAGACTTGCACAGCTGAACATCATTAAATAGCTTGTTCCTTCAGCTAAAAAACTATGTAAAATTATTTAGATTTTATGAGAGTAGTTGGCGGTACCATTATAAATTGTACAGTGTGTCAAAAGCACTGATTCTCGCCCACTTAAATTCAATTTCGCCATGATAATTTAAAGTCGCCCACTGTGTAAATTAAAAAAGAAATTATACTTGCGTAGGGCGACGTTATGTACAGGTGAGTGAGATTAAATCTCGTTAGTTAATTTCTATGCTCAATTGCACCATTTTAATTAGAAAAGTATAAAACCATGGGGTTTTTGTGAATGCGAACTTTCTCCCTAGATTCTGACATGAATCTGGATTCTGAGATCAATCTTAATTGTAATTGTAAAATGTGTAAATAAAGTATAGTTTCAACACAACAATGCTTACGAGCCGTAATGATATGACAAATATTGTCTTCTTTTTGCCCCAGTCATGAGTTTAATTTTTATATTGAGCTGCCGTGGCGTAGTGATTAGAGCATAGTACTCATTGTATAAGGGTTGCGAGTTTGAATCCTGTTCGAAACACTTATACGTTATCGGTGGAATGGGGAACCAACTCATTACATGGTTAAACCCTTGTGGCGGTGCTTAGTGATAAGACCAATAGGCCTTATCACAAATAAGACAAATAGAGCATTCTTAAATAAAGAAAATTAAAAAGTTTATATAGATAAGACAAAATTGTATGCGTTTTTAGTTATATAAAAAAATATTGTTAAATATTTAGTACATATTAGTCAGTATGGTCTCGGGATCAACAAATGGTTGCAATACAGATGATAATGAAATGAACTTCTTTTTTGTTGTTGCTTTAGAGTTGTTGGCACGATTTTCTAATTTTTTTTTTTTCTTAGCCAATACCTTTTTTTCTTCTTTTTGAGTCGCTTAGCACCATTAACAAATCGCAGTTGTTTTCTTTCGCATTTTTTTCTTTTCTGTTGGAATTTTGTCTTGGTGATATTTTAGCTTTGCTGAGTATGCTTCTTGAGAACTTATAACTTCGTATTTAAGCTGACCTTTTCTGTTCGCTATCTTTTTCCGTGCGGTGGCCTTAGGATATGCCAAGACATCATCATCTCCATCACCTGCATTAATAAAAAATAAAAAAAAATAAAAACATTTATATTCAATTAAAGAGTATTTAAATAATTTTAAAATATTTTAATTATTTTATAACTAAAAATTTATTAAAAGTTGCATTGTTGCTATGCAACTATTCAAATGAAATGAAAAAAAACTGTAAAATGATTGACTTACCAGGTAGGAAGAGTTTGCAAACGGCAAATCTAAAACTAAGTAAGATTGGTAAAACTATTTACAATGCAGTCAACATTTTTTTCTTTAACTGGATTGACTAAATATGCAAGCTGATTATTATGAAAAACAGTCTCTGCTTCCAAAATAAAAGTGTTGTTTTGTAACGAACTGTGAGATGCGTTTTCTTCTTCAGTGCCATTTTGTAATTGTTCTAGATAATTAGCAACTTTTCCAGCATCTATAGAAGCATCAACGTCTGAAAAATTAATTTCTTGAATAATTGATGGTTGAAATACTTTCTTTGTTCTTTATCTAGCTAGTTTATTTTGTTTTGATGAACATGAGCTTTTTATACAATTATTCAACGCAGAGCCATAGCAATTTATTTTTTAATTAATTTCCTTAATAACAATACACAGAGGAAGAGTATTATTTTGAAGGCAACCAAAAATAAATTAACTTGGATATCATCAATTTTTGTCAAAGCAGTTATCAAGTAAGTTTGGGTTTCATTTTTACGATAATGCCAAGGATGTTGAGTTAAGGGTAATTAATTTATAATATAATTTCCTCCATAATATATAGAATATTATGGAGGAAATTACATAGAAAGATTATGCTCTTAATATGAATCCTTACGGAATTTTATGATTTTGTTTTTCAATTGTTTTTTAAATATGTCATCCCAATTTAATAAAAAAATAATAGGGGTCACGGGGAAAGGTTTTTTTTGTTAAAACTGCTGGTAGCGTAAG